GTCTGAGACAAGAAGATCGCTTAGCCCACGAGTTGAGGTCTTGGAGCAGGTACGCCCGGGCACTCACTCTAGCCTAGCAACAAAGTGAGAATCTGTCTCAAAAAAAAAAAAAAAGAAGTAAATCCTAAATATGGCCAGCAATTTACGTTTAAATGATCATATATTCCACGTTGGGACAAAGTATGAGAATGGTTAGCAGAACAAAACCATGTATGCTTCTTAATACAAAACATTAAACTAGTATATGAGAGGTGAAAATAAAGAATGAAAAAACATTAGGCAATACCAAGCCTAAAATGCTGGGTATTTAGCACATCATAGCATTGTAAAAAAAAAAAAAAAAAAAAAAAAAATTGCTGGTTGTTACATTAGTATCACATAAATAGACTTTAGTTAAAAAGCATTGCTGAAGAAGAGGGCAGGTACGTGGATGGTGTAAGGTTCTATCATCAGAAAGATAATTCTGAACTTATATATGCATAATATAGAGCCTCAAAATACATAAACGCAAAATTAACAAACTACAAAAGAACTTTTTTCTTCCAACTCACAGCCCAGGATAAAGAAAGAAAAGAAAAAAAATCATGCGAAGGACCTTTAGCAAATTTCACCGTAAGATTGTTACCATACCTCTCCAAGTAATCAATAGAACAATAAGATTTTTTTAAAATAAGACTATAAGATATATTAAAAAAGACAAATAGTAAATATGTTTTTGAATATATAACAAAGTAATTAATTTTGACAGTAATTGCATTACAAGCAATTACTACATATAATATTTTCAATAATAGACGTGATTATTAAAGGAAAAAACAACAGAAGACAGATAATAAGGAACAAAGTGAACTTTTACAATCTATCCACTTAAACCCTGGTTAACAGCTTGGCTGTAATTCATGAATAATAGAAGATCCTGTCGAAAGATATCAGTTTTCCCCACTTCAGTCAAATCAATTGCAATCTGTAAATCCCTATTTCATTTAACTTAAGGACACTTGACAAAGAAATTTTTTTAAATTTATTTTTTTTGCTGATTCCTGGACTATCCTAATCACAAAGAGATTTCAAATCAAAGGGGGACAAAGCAAAAAATATCACGATGCTCTAAAATGAATAATCAATACCCAAAAGATGCGGGATGGATGTAGAGGGGTGGTGCGGGGCAAGTACTTATTCTAACACGAATTCTATAGGCCGGGCCGTGGACTCTCGCCATATAATCCTAGCACTCGGTGGGAGGCCCGAGGCGAAGTGATGCTCAAGGTCAGGATTTGAAACCAGCCTGAGCAAAGTGAGACCACGCTCTACTACTTTAAAAAATCAGAAAGAATATAAATGGGCCAACTGAATATATGATTAAAAAAATTAGCCGGGACATGGTTGGTGGCACATGCCTGTAGTCCCAGCTACTCGGGAGGCTGAGGCAGGAGGATTGCTTGAGTCCAGGAGATTGAGGTTGCTGTGAGCTAGGCTGACGCCACCACTCACTCTAGCCTGGGCAACAAAGCGAGACTCTGTCTCAAAAAAAAAAAGAATTACTATACAACTAAATTAAGACATGATGATTTTGACAACGGGATAGAAAAAATGGACCATCATAATAGGATAAAGAGTCCTAAAATATACCCATGTGTATGTAAAAAATTTGTTTGTGACAGAGCTGGCTATACTGATGGAAACGACAGTCTTTTCAATAAATGGTGTTGGGACCATTGGTCATCCCGATAACAAAAATTAAAGTTGGGCATCTCTTGTATACTGTGAAAAGATTTAAATGTCAAAGGCAAAACTATAATATTTTAGCTTATATTTAGGAGCATATAATTTGACCTAATGAATTCTTAAGCCAGTCACAAAAAACATAAGCCTTTAGTAAAAAAAAAACAACAGGACTATGTTAAACTAAAGAACTTTAACATAACGAAGATGAAGAAAAGGGAAGCTACAGATGGGGAGAGGGAATTTGCCACGTAACTAAGCAACAAGGACTGGTGTGGAGGAGATGAAAGAAAAACACAAGCAGTCCAGTAGGAGATGAGCAGCACTTGAGCAGGCCTCCAGGGAGAGGAGAGACGTGTGGACCCAGGACGACAGCTCAGCCTCTAATCAGTCACGGAGCACAGAGTGAGGCTCTTTATTTCTTTCTTTTGCCTAAATGCCTTGAGTGAGAACCTCTAGCACAGCATTGAGTGGAAGTGGTGAGAGTGGCCATCCTCGTCTGGTCCCTAAGCTAGAGCTAAGTAGCCAGTCTCGCTGTTGTTTATGATGTTAGCTATGGGCTGCCTTTATTTTTTTCTTTTTCTGAGATAGGGCCTCCCTCTGTTGCCTGGCTGGAAGGCAGTGGTATCATAGCTCACTGTAACCTTAACCCTGGGCTCAAGTGATTCTCCTGCCTCAGCCTCCTGAGTAGCTGGGACTACAGGCACGTGCCACTACTCCTGGCTAATTTTTTTTTTTTTTTTTGGTAGAAATGAGGTCTTACTATGTTGCCCAGGCTGTTCTCAAACTCCTGGCCTCAAGCAATCCTCTTCCCTCGACCTCCTGATGCTCTGGGATTAAGGCGTGAGCCACTGTACCCAGCCAACTGTGGGCTTCTTGTCCTTCATCAGAGTGAGAAAGTTCCCTTTTATTTCTAGTTGAGAAATTTTATCATTAACGGGTGTTAGATTTTGTCAGATGCATCTTTGGATTTATTTGATAAGGAGGTCACGTGTTTCTTTTTTAGATTCTTGATATGTGCTGCATTATATTGATTTTTTTTAATATATTTTTTTTAAAGAGAAGGGTCTTATTCTGTTGCCCAGGCTGCAGTGTAATGGTATGATTATAGTTCACTGTAGCCTCAAATTCCTAGGCTCAAGTGATCTTCCTGCCTCAGCCTCCTAAGTACCTGGTACTACAGATGTGCCACCACACCCAGCTAGTTTTTTTTCATTTTTGTAGAGATAGAGTCTCACTGTGTTGCCCAGGCTGGTCTTGAACTCCTGGCCTCAAGTGATCTTCCCACCTTAGCTCCTGAGTCTCTAGGATTATAGGCACAAGCCACCACACCCAGCTCTTATTTTTTCCACGTTTTTGAATAGGGTTAAAAGTTTTGCAAGACTGCATTTAGTATGATTAAAGCAAAATTAAGTTGAAAAACATGCAAAACTACCTATATTGCTCAGGGATGCAGTGGATGTGATAAAACTGACAATCGCAAAGAACTACAGAGGCTCGGTTAGGAAAATAGGCGACTCTGCAGTGGCAGCCGGTGCTGGCCTCCTGCAAAGCTGCAACAGCCCTCTCGATGGTTGGCAGTGTTCCGATTCTCTTCCTGTGCTTTGCTGCAGACCTCACAAATACTCTGTTGTATCTGAGTACATCGTGTATGCGTACATTAATTACTTTTTAAAAATTGGGTGTCTTAGGCCAGGCGTGGTGGCTCACACCTGTAATCCTAGCACTCTGGGAGGCCGAGGGGGGCAGATCGTTCAAGGTCAGCCTGAGCAAGAGTGAGACCCCCCCTCTACTAAAAATAGAAAGAAATTAATTGGCCAACTAATATATATAGAAAAAATTAGCTGGGCATGGTGGCACATGCCTGTAGTCCCAGCTGCTTGGAAGGCTGAGGCAGGAGGATCGCTTGAGCCCAGGAGTTTGAGGTTGCTGTGAGCTAGGCTGACGCCATGGCACTCTAGCCCGGGCAACAGAGCGAGACTCTGTCTCAAAAAAAAAAAAAAAAAGGCCGGGCGCGGTGGCTCACACCTGTAATCCTAGCACTCTGGGAGGCCGAGGCAGGTGGATTGCTCAAGGTCAGGAGTTCAAAACCAGCCTGAGCGAGACCCCGTCTCTACCATAAAAAATAGAAAGAAATTAATTGACCAACTAATATATATAATATAAAAATCAGCCGGGCATGGTGGCTTGTGCCTGTAGTCCCAGCTACTTGGGAGGCTGAGGCAGGAGGATCGCTCGAGCCCAGGAGTTTGAGGTTGCTGTGAGCTAGGCTGACGCCACGGCACTCACTCTAGCCTGGGCAAGAAAGCGAGACTCTGTCTCAAAAAAAAAAAAAAAAAAATTGGGGGTCTTGGGCTACCCAGCCAGCAAACAAATCACTCGCGCAGCCTTCATCCTGCGGTGTATGCTGACCCCCCCCTCCTTAGGGATCTCCAGAATCTGCTGGTTCTGGCCGCCGTCAAGGCGAGCCACATGCGCGTCATGGAGCCTGGACACGTCAGCCGCCTGGACAACGACGACGCCCCAGACATCGCGAGCATCGCCGTCAGCAGTGCACTGTACGAGGAGGCCTTTGCCATCGTCTGCAAGTTCAATGTGAACACCTCCGCAGTCCAGCTGGGCTGCTGAGCGCAGGCGTGTTGGGCCCTCGCGCCCTTGCACGCCAGACCCCTGCTCGTCCAGCGCGTCCCTGGTGCTCTTCTCCAGTCCTGCGCAGCCCTGCGGGCTCCAGCCCTGGCCTTTGCTGTGCTGCTCCCGTCTGGCTGTGAGCCTGCCCTTCCCCGAAGGCTCCCTGTGCTCTCCTGGACCGAGGTCAGAGCACTCACTCCTCACCATAAACTCCTCCCTGCAACCATGTTCCTTTTGTGCCAGTCTGTGAGCCTTTCTGATTTTATTTCCGAATCAGTTGTAAACCACAGGATGTATCACTTTAGCTGCTCTCTTACCATTATTCCTTACTTCCTTCTCTCTTTTTCTGTCCTTTTCTGTACCTGCCTGTGCAACCTCTGGTCTAGGAACCCTTCGTTTGTACCCACATGTGGGCCATAGCCTTGCACTGAGACAGACTGCCTCTTCATGGGGGCCTGCCACTGCCACAGCCACTACAGCCCAGCAAGCCTGTTTCTGTCTCTCCAGCAATCCCATTCCCCACAGCAGCTCTTGCAAACCTTCCCACGGCCTCTGTGGCCTGTCACACTGTCTGTCAGGAGGCAGGTCCCGGGCCCACCCTGCCCCAGAAAGCTCCATCTCTCTACAGCTCTTTGCTGGAGTGCCTCTTCTTTGTCTGGCACCCCTCTCATATGACGGCTCTTGCCTCTCCCCTCAGTTCAGTCATCTGAGAAACACTTAGCACCCAGTTCTTTCGTACCGAATTGAAATGGCCATGCAACTTTAGGCAGAATAGGGAAACAAGCAAAAGTTCGTCTGCTCCTTGGAGCTGACTGGGTGTCGCAGAGAATGCAAGTCCTCCCATAAACCCGGGTCCTGATAGAGCACATCAGAAACCTGGACCGAGCGCATGAGTTTGCTGAGCGATGCAGTGAGCCTGCCGTGTGGAGCTAGCTGGCCCACGCCCAGCTGCAGAGAGCCTTGGTGAAGGAAGCCATCGACTCCTATGTCAGAGCAGACGAGCCTCCTCTTACCTGGAAGTCGTGCAGGCAGCCAGCAGGAGTGGTGAGTGAATCCCCTTCCATGGGGCTCTACTGCTCACATGCGCAAAACCTGGCCAGGGCAAGAGGTTGGAGGGACTCTTAGGAACCTTTGTATGTCATGCATCCAGAGAGAGCAGAGGGCACATCTAAGTGAAAGCTTTCTAAAAGAGTATACGATAAACACTATCCTAGCACTTCAGTTTACTGTTGCCCTCTTTTATGCAAGTAAGCAGTTTAAGCACAGCATGAATTACTGTTGTGACAGTGTCAAGGCCAGTGCTTCAGACCCAAGGTTTCCGGGAGATGTGCTATTCCTGTTGACTGTGGCACTGACCTCTCGGGCTAGCGTAAGCATTCTGTCTCCAGGTGCAGTCTCGACTTGTGGACCTGGAGACTCCCATCCCCAGGGGTGGCCCACGTGTGGTTCCGCCCCTCCCCACCTCCCATCTGAGATAGGGCTCAGTGTGTAGTCAAGGCCTTCTAGGCATTACCTGGAGTCTGAGTTCTCAGGCATAGCAGGGAGGTTAACATGTCTGGCTGAGGACAGAGTGAGAGAAATTGAGCCCCTGCTTAAAATGATCAGTTCTGAGTTAACCTCTCTGTTTTCTGTCTTCAGACAATTGGGAGGATCTAGTTAAATTCCTGCAGATGGCCAGGAAAAAGGGCCGTGAGTCCCATATAGAGACGCAACTTATCTTTGCCTTAGCTAAAACGAGCCGTCAGTCTGAGCTAGAAGACCGTATCAGTGGGCCCAGCAGTGCCCACATCCAGCAGGCAGGCTGTGCCCCAGGACTGCACTGCCGCAGTCTGATTCAGGCCAGGGATGCTCGCGTGACACAGACCGTGATGGCGAGAAACAAGCCACACCAGGAATTAAGCCACAAGTTGCCAGCACTTGTGCAGAAATTAAGGCCCATGGAATCCTGACTTGTGCTTGGCTGTGCACATCAGAATGATTCCCCTGGAAGAGGAGATGCAGGTGTTCTGTTCACCATGAGAAAAGAAAATGAACTGATGAACTCAGAATTAATAATCCAGATGCATAAAAAATATGCATAGAAAAGTAATAGCTTTCCCAGATGTCAGCAATGATCAGATGACATAATGGGGGAGAAAACATTTGTTTTTAAATAGGAATAAAACCAAGCTGAACACTCTGGCTCAGACCCGTGGTCCCATCTGCTCAGGAGGCTGAGGCAGGAGGATCACTTGGGCCCAGGAGTTTGAGGTTACAGCAGTGATCTGTGATCACACCACCGCACTCTAGCCTGGGTGACAGGTGAGATCCCTTCTCTTAAAAAGAGAAAAGAAAAGAAAAGAAATAAAACCAAAATGTTTACATGAACCTTAACCAAAAAAACATTAAATACAAGGTCTAAATAATTGTGAAGTCTGCCATATGGGTAAAATGGTACCCCTAGAAAAATTGATAAAGATGAAGAGGTGATGGAATGTGCTCTAACTCTATATTAATTTAAGTGCACTCTTCATGAAAGAGCACACAAGTTGAAATAACACTGAAGTGGACTTTGGAAATTAGGTTAAAGTTTAGAAAGGAGATAAAGGTTTATGTAATTCTGTAACCAAAATGAAATTCCAGGTGAAAAAATTAAAGATGTAAAAATTGAGGTGTTTTCCTTAATAGAAAAAAATTTTAGGCCAGGACACAGTGGCTCACACCTATAATACTAGCAGTTTGGGAGGCTGAGACAGGAGGATCACTTGAGGCCAGGAGTTTGAGATCAGCCTAGGTAACATAGTGAGACCTCATCTGTACAAAAAATTTTTTTAAAAAATTAGGCAGGCCCAGTGATGCACACCTGTAGTCCCAGGTACTCAGGAGACTAAGGTGGGACCATCACTTGAGCCCAGGAGTTCAAGGTTACAGTGAGCTATGATGACACCTCTGCACTCCAGCCTGAGCAACATAGCAAGCCCTGTCTCAAAAAAAGAGAAAACCTGGCTGGTGATTAAAAACCTTTCAAAGTTAGTTTAAGCACAGTGAGAAACTTTATGCACATTAGTAAACATATATGTCTAGAAAAATGCCCGTGATGGGAACAGCGAACAACTCCAAGGTGTGGAATTGGCAGTATTGCAGTATTGTATTATTTTCTTTTTACTTGCCTGTGTTTGCGATGTTCTTTTTTTTTTTTTTCTTTTGAGACAGAGTCTCACTCTGTTGCCCAAGCTAGAGTGAGTGCCGTGGCGTCAGCCTAGCTCACAGCAACCTCAATCTCCTGGGCTCAAGCAATCCTCCTGCCTCAGCCTCCCGAGTAGCTGGGACTACAGGCATGCGCCACCATGCCTGGCTCATTTTTTCTATGTATTTTTAGTTGGCCAATTAATTTTCTTTCTATTTTTAGTAGAGACGGGGTCTCGCTCTTGCTCAGGCTGGTCTTGAACTCCTGATCTTGGGCGATCCACCTGCCTCGGCCTCCCAGAGTGCTAGGATTACAGGCGTGAGCCACCGTGCCTGGCCAGCATGTTCTTTTTTAATCGGTGACCATATAGCTTCCAAAATTGCCTTAATAATCAGAAAATGAATTGAAATGTTAGAAAACAAAACCCTGCCCTAAAGCCTTCTCTGAATTAGTAGCAGGATTCTCCTGAGTCAGCAGCCCTGTGCGGAGCAGAGCAGAAGCACTGTCACCTGCCAGCCTGGTGGGCAGGGAGTGTTCACAGGGCCAGATCCAGCCCACTCCCTGTTTGTAGATGTCATTTTCCCTGTGTTTCCTCTAAATTAGCACTAACAAAAGACTTACATGATCACCCTCTTCCATAAAACACCTCACTTATGCATTTATTAGCAAGAATTTTTTCTTTTTTCTTTTTTCTTTTTTTTTTTTTTGAGACAGATTCTCACTGTGTCGCCCAGACTGGAGTGCAGCGGTGTCATCACAGCTCACTGCAACCTCAAACTCCTGAGCTCAAGCAATCCTCCTGCCTCAGTGCCCCTAAGTAGCTGGGACTACAGGGTACCACCATGCGTAGTGCATCAGCAAACTTTTATTAAGCATCAACTGGGTGCCACAGTAGGGGCTGTGGACCAGCAGTGAGAATAGCAGTCAGATTCCTGCCCACATTGGTCCTGAGACCCCTAAAGACATTGCAGTATGTTAAATGTGAGTGTGAAATAGAGAAGCAAGGCAGGGCGTGGGTGTGCGGGTGTATGTTCCAGTTTTAGAACCCTGGTGGGTGCTGAGTCTGCACCCCTCTAAGGAGGAGCCCCTGGAACAGAGAGCAGGTTGGGCGCTGGGGTCCCTGGAGGAGCACTGGGTGTGTGCAGGAGCAGGCAGCAGGAGCCAAGCTGTCCGACCCGAGAGGCATAGGCACCCGTGGGGGCAGACAGCTGTTGGCCTCACAGGCCCAGACGTGTGGGCCTTCATCAGGACTCTGGTTTCTGCTCTGGGAAAACTGGAGGATTTTGAGCAGAGGAGGGGCATGGTCTGATCAGGTGTCAGCAGAAGCCCTCTGACTCCTGTGCAGAACAGAGTGACAGGCAAAGATAGAGGAGCGAGCCCAGAGAGGCCACTCTGGTGCCAGGCAGGGACCGCAGCTGGTGGCGAGGCAGGCGGCAGTGTAGTCAGCTCCTGACATGTCTCGGAGGCAGAGCTGACGGTGTGAGAAGGGGAGCAGCGAAGGTGAGTCGTGGTGCGACCTAGCCTCTCGCTCAGCGATGGGGGGCGCACTGCGTGAACGCGCCATGGGTCTGTCCACCTGGCGTAGGCGTTGGGTTGGGGAAGTCCAGACTAGAGATGCTCATGTACAGGTGACTCCTGTGGCCACTGCCCGTGTGGGAGAGCATGGCAGGGGGTGTGAGGCTGGGGGAACGGACCAAAGTGGAGATCAAGGGCCTCCAAAGCCAGGTAGCAGGGAGAGGTAGTGATGGAGAGTAGCCAGAGCAGTGGGAGAGAAGCGGTGAGTGTCCAGGAAACCGCGTCGGCATCTGTCTGGAGGAGCGATGACCCTGGCAGAGAGTCGGGCAGAGGCCTGATTGGAGCACGTGCAGAGAGGAAAGGAAGACACAGGACAGCTGTTGTAGACACACGACACCTCTGCTGAGAAATGTGCTCTTAGGGAAGGGTAGAAATAGTCTGGCAGCCCTGGGTAGGTGAGGAAAGCAGGAGTAGGATTGATTTGGTTTGGTTTTAAGCTGGGGAAGCTAACAGTGGTTCCTTAAGCTTGTGGGGATGGGCCAGTGCAGAGGGCGATGCTGTTGCAGGGAAAGGGCAGAGGCCACATGCACAAGTGGGGTCGGCCCCTGGCGTGGCACTGTGGAAGGCTCTTGTGACGGTTTCTGTCTTCTCAGGAAAAGGGAAGACAGGTATTCAGCTTAAGGACTTGCTGGAGTTGTGAGGCAAGAAGAATGTATGAATAGTTGACAGGAGAGAGGCCACACATTAAGGAAGTAGAGTTGGTAGTGCTGCGAGCCCCTCCGAGGTCAGTGGTCACAGCTTCAGAGAGACCCCTTAGCACTTTGGGGTCCCACTGTCTGTGTGACTCTGTAGCCACAGGTGTACAGCAGGCAGAGACCTGGCTCTAAGCAGAACTGAGAGCAAGCAGGAGAGTCGAGGGTGAGTGCCAGGAGCCATCAAGCTCGGCTGTGGGCACGAGCTGGGGACGAGTGCACGCCAGGCGCAGACAGAGTGGTGGGCAGCGGGAGGCTGGTCGGCTGCTGGGCTGATGGGGCTGAGGCACTCAGGAGCTGGGCGTGAGGGGGCACTGGGCAGACAGAGGGTGCTTGTGACAGGGTCCCAGGGCTCACAGTTCTCTTCCAAGGTCTAGGGGATGGCCATGGCAGTGACTGGCTATTGTCATGAGGGAGACAAGCTCCTTAGAGCAGAAGAAGTCAAAGAAATGGCCCCTCGCAGTAGGGACCTGTGGCCTTTCCACATGAGCTGCTGAGGGCGGGCTGGGGGGCAGGTGGACTGCTGGGTGAGGTCTTCAGCCTCTGCCCTTCTTGGAACTGTGTGCCCAAGGTCGAGCCCCAGGGCACACACGCAGCTGCTTGGTGGAAGACACCCGTGTTCCTCGGCATGATGGTGCGTGATGTCAGTGGCCTCTGACGGGGTGTCATGCCCTAAGTGGGGTCTGTGGATTGCTGGCGGGAGTACAGGCTTTTCACTTCACTGTGGCCCAGCATGCATGACTGGTCCCACGTAGATAGGTCCAGGTATTAGAAAATCCATACTTGATCAATCCTACGTTTACTTTTTTCTCATTCTCATTTCTCTGATACGAAGGTGCGGTTTAAAATTGTCGTGCTAGGGAGGGGAGGAGGAGGCAATAAAAAAAAAAAATAAATAAATAAATAAAATTGTCGTGCTATGGTTGAAGTGGCAGTGCTTTTTGTTCCCTAATGGCACATAGCAGCAGGACAGCTGAGACCTGCCACGTGGGAAGCAGTGTCTCCTGTCTGCCACCTGTGGTTGACGGCAAGGCCATTGCTCTTGTGGATTCAGGATGCTTCTGCCGCACCCTGCTGTGTGGGACAGCCCACCAGCTCAGATGTGTGGGGCAGGAGGACATGAGCTAGTGCAGCGGCCCAGTCAGAGGATCAAGCAGGTGCTTCAGAATCTACTTGGCCCAGGCCGGGCAGGGGCAGGCCAAGCAGGGCCTGCTGACTCAGGGTGGCATCCCTGCTCAGCCACATGCTGTTTCTGTCACTGAGGGATATGGGTGTCACTGCTGTGAATCCCACTTATCCCATTGATAAATGAACAATGGCAGGTGCCTCGTGTCAGTGGGTGCTTCTCTCAGGTAGTGCAACGCCATCATTGGGAGCCAGGGAGTCCTGAGCTCAGATGACACCGGCTGGTCATCCTGGAGTTCTTTTTTTTTTTTTTTGAGACAGTGTCTCACTTTGCCCAGGCTAGAATGAGTGCCATGGCATCAGCCTAGCTCACAGCAACCTCAAACTCCTGGGTTCAAGTGATCCTGCTGCCTCAGCCTCCCGAGTAGCTGGGACTACAGGCATGTGCCACCATGCCCGGCTAGTTTTTTCTATATATATATTAGTTGGCCAATTAATTTCTTTCTATTTATAGTAGAGACGGGGTCTCGCTCTTGCTCAGGCTGGTTTCGAACTCCTGACCTTGAGCAATCCGCCCACCTCGGCCTCCCAGAGTGCTAGGATTACAGGCGTGAGCCACCGCGCCCAGCCCATCCTGGAGTTCTTGACAAAAATCTTTTGAGCTTTCGTTTTCTCTTCTACTAAACAGGGATGCTGCCCATCCTCTAGGGCTCAGTTGAGATGACATGTCCTCGTGTGCTCACCGTAGGCACAGCACTGGCTGTCCTTGCTGACTGGACTAGTGGGCACAGCCCTGCTAGTGCTCCACGTCCTGGCATATGGCTGGTGGCCTCACGCCACACTGTCTCCCAGCATGGCTCCAGAAGAAAGCACTGCGTGGATGCCAGTGCCCCCCAGCCAAGGGACAGCAGACGCTCCAGAGGCCCACCTGCTGCAAGCTGAGGCGGCAGAGGGCTCCAGGTCACAGCAGCTTAGCCCCACAGAGACATGTCCATTGCAGCCTTGGGCACCGAGGGGCTGAGGTGGGAGGGTGACAAGTTGTGCTCTACCTTAAACTGCCCACTGGAGGGACACAGCACTCTGGTCATGCCATGTGGAGTGGTTAAAGGGCTGAGGGACTACCTTGTCCCAGGTTTTGCCAGTGCCGCCAGCTCCAAAGGCCCTACTGCAACTCTGTCGACTCACATGGTACATGCGCAAGCTCAGAGAGACCGGCTTGTCCTTGGACAGGTTCCTCTTGTCACACAGTTATCCTGAGGAGCCGTGTGGTTGGCAGGGGAGGCCCATGGGGCTCAGAGGAGGTGGATCGACACAGAAGGAGAACTTGAGACCCTGCCTGTACTCCTCAGCCCCACGCCACGTCCTGACTCCCCCTTCTGCTTATTACATGTCTGGCCAAGACCCCTCTGGTTGGCCCCTGTGCTGCTGAGTCAGAGGCCAGCCCAGAAGGGCGACAGATTCCAGGGCTCCCATGTGAGCATGCCCACAGCAGCTGGGGCTGGCTGCTGCCGCAGGTGAAGCTTTGTGACAGGGCTGGGTCACTGCTCTGTTCTCCCTCCTTGCGGGCAGGGACCAGGGACCTTGCCGCCTATCTGGGTCAGAATCCATGGTGACAGTGAGTCCTCTAGCCTGAGCAGGGAAGAGGAGGAAGAGGTTGGCGTTGTCAGTAAATCATAGAGGACTGTAATAATACTGTGTCCACTTTTGGTCTGCAAACCCCAGTGTGCCCCACATGGCTGCCAGGTCCCCTAAACGTCACACTGCTGAAGGCTCCAGTGGTGCCCGTCCCCTGCCCCAAGTGTGGTTCCAGCACTGGCTGTGCTGCACACGTAGCCTGGACCCCTGCACGCTCGTGCAGGCTTGGTCACCACTGCTGGCTGGCTCGTGCCCTTCTGGGTGGTGGGAATTACCTTACTCCCTTCAACAATAGAGCTGTGTGCAGGCCCTGACACTGGTGCCACAGCAGCTATCCAGTGACATTGCCCAGCAAGAGAATGATGACCAGGAGGGAAAGTACCAAGAGACACGGCAGCCTGGCTGGACTCTGAGACCCAGGAGGACAGGCACAGGGTCTGCCCAGCGTGGTCCCGCCGTCTCCATAGGAGTCTGCTGTGCCTGGGCCAGCATCCGGCCCCGCCCAGGGTCTGAGTGCCTGGGCTCAGAGGCACTGGGGAGGTGACACGACCTGCTGCCCCCTTGTTTACAGCTTGAGCCAACCCATTCAAGGAGGGCTGGGGGACTCTTGCTTGGATAAAAGCATATCTTTTTGAATTTATTCTGGCTGATGACACTCAGTCATTCACTTAAGAGATACTGGGTGAGTGTTTACCCTGCACCAGATGCTGGCGTAGGTGCTGGGGTGAGGCAGGAACCAGAGCGCCCTGCCTCGTAAGAGAAGTGTCAGGGCTGAGGAAAAGAATTCTGCGGCCACAGCCACGGGAGGGCAGCATGCTGGGCCGTTTGTTCCCACGGGGTGGTGTCAGGCCTGGCTGGGCGGAGCCATTGGGCAACAGAACTGGGCAGGGAATGACCCTCGCCTTCTCCGCTCAGGCTGCCAACGCCGAGCTCTGCACAGAGCCCTGCAGCTCTGTCTGGATTACACACCGCTGCTCGTCAGTGACCTGCTGCTGGTGCTGTCGCCCCGGCTGGACCACGCTCGGACAGTCAGTTTCTTTTCAAAGGTGAGTCAGCCAAACCCCAGGCCCAGAGAGCAGTGTGGCAGGCTCCCTCTGCCCCACTCATCTGAATGCAGCCCTTTATAAACGATTTTTGAAATGAACCCCCCAGCCAGTTTCAAAATTTAATTTATCGAACTGTTTCAGGTTTCAGATACAGGCATACCTTGTTTTGCTGTACTTTGCTTTATCGCGCTACTCAGATGCTGCATTTTTTTACAGATTGAAGGTTTATGGCAACCCTGTGTCAAGCAAGTCTGTTGGTGTTATTTTTCCAACAGCATGTGCTCACTTCCTGTCTGCCATAGTTTGGTAATTCTTGAAACATTTCAAACTTTTTCATTGTTATTATATCTGTTATGCTGCTTTGTGATCCGTGATTTTTTTTTTTTTTTTGAGACAAAGTCTCACTCTGTTGCCCAGGCTAGAGTGAGTGCCGTGGCATCAGCCTAGCTCACAGCAACCTCAAACTCCTGGGCTCAAGTGATCCTCCTGCCTCAGCCTCCCGAGTAGCTGGGACTACAGGCATGCGCCACCATGCCCGGCTAATTTTTTTGTATATATATTAGTTGGCCAATTAATTTCTTTCTATTTATAGTAGAGACGGGATCTCGCTCTTGCTCAGGCTGGTTTCGAACTCCTGACCTTGAGCAATCCGCCCTCCTCAGCCTCCCAGAGTGCTAGGATTACAGGCGTGAGCCACCGCGCCCAGCCGTGATTTTTTTTTTTTTTTTTTTTTATGTAACTTAAACATTTGTAAACCAGCCGTGATTTTTGATGTTACTATCTTAATTGTTTTGGGGCACCACAAACCACACCCATATAAGATAGCAAAGTTAATCGATACATGTGCTGTTCCCCTTCGCTGTCCCTGTCCTTAGGCCTCCCTATTCCCTGAGACACAACAACATTGAAATTAAGCCAATTAATAACCCTACAGTGACCTTTAAGTATTCAAGTGAAAGGAATCAAAAGCTAGAAACTGATTAGGCTTAGCAAGGAAGGCATATCGAAAGCTGAGATAAGCCAAAAGCCAGGCCTCCTGCACCAAACAGCCAAGTTGTGAATAAAGAAGTTCTTTGCTTTGTTTTGTTTTGTTAAGACACAGTCTCGCTGTGTTGCCCAGGCTAGAGTGAGTGCCATGGCATCAGCCTAGCTCACAGCAACCTCAAACTCCCTGGGCTCAAGCAATCCTTCCTGCCTCAGCCTCCCAAGTAGCGGGGACTAGCAGGCATGGTGCCCACCATGCCCGGGCTAATTTTTTCTATTATATATTAGGTTGGCCAATTAATTTCTTTCTATTTATAGTAGAGACATAGGGACTCGTTTCATTGCCAGGCTGGTGTCAGAACTCTCTTGACCTGAGCATTCTGCCCGCCTCGGCCTTCCAGAGTCCTAGGATGACAGGTGTGAGCCACAGTGGCTGGCCAATAAAGAAGTTCTTGAGGCCAGGCTCGGTGGCTCACACCTATAATCCTAGCACTCTGGGAGGCCAAGGAGGGCAGATCGCTCAAGGTCAGTCGAAACCAGCCTGAGCAAGGAGCGAGACCCTGTCTTCTACTAAAAGATAGAAAGCAATTAATTCCAACTAAAAAACATGATAGAAAAAAAAATAGCCAGCATGTGGTGGCATGCCTAGTCCCAGCTACTCAGGGTTTATATTGGCTGGAGCATATATAGTTTGTGGTGATATGTGTCCAGGAGGTATTGCTGTGTGAGCTAGGTATGCACTCCACTTAACCTGGGTAACAAGTGAACTGGTTCTCATAATATAATAGGAAAATATAAAAATATAAATATAATAAAATGTTCTTGCCGGGGAAATTTTGAAAGTGGAAACACAGTGTGTTCCAGTGAACACACATATATAGAGAAAGCCAATCATGCATTGCTGATCGGAGAAAGGCCGTGAAGGTCTGGATCAGATAAAGATCCAAAGCCAGCCACAAAACATTCCTCTAATCCAAACGCTACCTAGACAAGGCCCTAACTCTTCAGTTCTGTGGGGCTGAGAGAGGTGAGGAAGCTGCAGAAGAAAAGTTGGAAGCTGGCAGAGGTCGGTTCATGATGGGTTTAAGGAAAGAAGCTGGCTCTCACAGAAGTGCAAAGTGAAGCCGCAGGTGCTGACGCGAAGCTGCGCAGTTATCCAGAAGATCCAGCTAAGATCAGTGCTGGAGTTGGCTGCGCTAAACCAATGCAGAAAACAGTTCTATTTGGAAGACGACGCCATCTCGGATTCCATAGCTGATGAAGGAGAAGTCAGTGCCTGGCTCCCAAGCTTCAAAGGACAGGCTGGCTCTCTTGGGGGCCAGTGCAGCTGGGCAGAGGCTTCACCCGGGGGGTTTTGGCCCGTGGGCAGAGGGCTCACCTGGGGGGTTTGGGCCCGTGGGCAGAGGGCTCACCTGGGGAGTTTGGGCCAGTGGGCAGAGGGCTCACCCCGGGGGGTTTTGGCCCGTGGGCAGAGGGCTCACCTGGGGAGTTTTGGCCCGTTGGGGCAGAGGCTTCACCTGGGGGGTTTTGGCCCGTGGGCAGAGGGCTCACCTGGGGGGTTTGGGCCCGTGGGCAGAGGGCTCACCTGGGGGGTTTGGGCCCGTGGGCAGAGGGCTCACCTGGGGGGTTTGGCCCGTGGGCAGGGGCTTACCTGGGGAGTTTTGGCCCGTGGGCAGAGGCTTCACCTGGGGGGTTTTGGCCCGTGGGCAGAGGCTTCACCTGGGGGGGTTGGCCTGTGCGCAGAGGGCTCACATGGCGGGTTTCGGCCTGTGGGAGTGGTGTTGGCTTGTGTGCAGAGGGCTCACCTGGGGTTGTCGGCCCATAAATTTAAAAAAGTAAATATTAAAAAAGAGGCCGGGCGCGGTGGCTCACGCCTGTAATCCTAGCACTCTGGGAGGCCGAGGCGGGCGGATTGCTCAAGGTCAGGAGTTCAAAACCAGCCTGAGCAAGACCCCGTCTCTACCATAAAATAGAAAGAAATTAATGGCCAACTAATATATATATATATAAAAATCAGCCGAGCAGGTGGCCGTGCCTGTTAGTCCCGCTCTCGGGAGGCGCTGAGGCAGGAGGATCGCTTGAGCCCAGGAGTTTGAGGTTGCTGTGAGCTAGGCTGACGCCACGGCACTCACACTAGCCTGGGCAACAAAGCGAGACTCTGTCTCAAAAAAAAAAAAAAAAAAAAAAAATATCACCATTAATGGTAGTTTTGAAGAAGTGGATTCCAGCCCTCATGGGTGACACTGAGTAGTTCAAGACTTCAGTGGAGGAAGTCACTGCAGATGTGGTGGAAATGGCAGAAGAGCTAGAATTAGAAGTGGAGCCTGAAGATGGGCTCAATCGCTGTGTCTCATGAGAACAGCTGAACAGGTGGGGGCCGCTTCTTGGGGATGAGCAGAGGATGTTTCTTGATGCAGAGTCCACTCCTGGTGAGCATGCTGTGTCCCTTGTTGAAATGACAAGGGACTTAGAGTCGTGCACAAACTGAGTTGATACAGCGGCGGCAGGGCTTGAGAGGATCGACTCCAATTTTGGAAGAAGTTCTGTGGGTGAAGTGCTGTCACACAGCATCACATGCTACAGAGCAGTCCTTCATGAAAGGGACAAGGATCCAGCAGACTTTATGGCCTTATTTTAAGAAATTGCCACAGCCACTGCATCCTTCAGTGACCACCACCTGATCAGTGAGCAGCCGCCAGCATCAAGGCCAGAGCCGCCACCAGCAAAAAGTTTAGGGCTCTCTGAAGGCTCAGATGATGATTAGCAGTTTGGGCCATAAAGTATTTTAAAAAGGTACGTATATTGTAGGTATGTATATAGGTATGCATATTGTTTTTAGACATGCTATTGCACACTTAATGGATCACAATATTAGGGACCGACCTTCCACAGCCCCACCGGACAGAAAAGCAGAGACATCGAGGATGCAATTACACAAGAGGAGGTTTATTTTCTGGCTAGCCAGGGTCCAAGCCCCAGAGCACCAACGCAGTGGTCACTCTTGCAGGCAAGGACCCTGACTGGGGTCGCAGCGTGCCTTTTATCCCTATGGTGCATACGCTATGCAGTGGCTGATCACGTGTGGGTCATGCATTGACCTTTAACATGATTGGCTGGCTGGCAGCCCCACTATACAGGGGTCCGAACAATGCAAAGTTGGCGCAAACAAGCAAGCAAGCAACGGTTTCCATGGCAAGCAAGCAACAGTTTCCAGAAGCCGGATGTTGGTTCGGCTTCACTGGGGGTGTGGGCCTTGCAGGTGTGCAATGTCTCGACCCCTCACAACAATATAGTATAAACATGACTTGTATATGCCCTGGGAAACCAAAATATTCATGTGACTTGCTTTATTGTAGTGGTCTGGAACCAAAGCGCAGTATTTCTGAGGTGTGCCCATACAGGTTTGCATTCCAGCCAAAATGTCTGCAGGTGACATTGCTGTCTACTGAATGACCCAGACAGTCCTCTTGTGTGAGTGTGTTTAGGCCTATTGGTTCTGGGTGTCCAGAGGTGCCCTGGGTCCTGGAGCTGGCCCATTGGAGAGGGTGTGCACACACTCAACCAACCTGCACCCCTCGCCAGTGTCAGCATGTCATGGGGCACTCCTGCCCAGCATGTGACAAGCTTGGCCTTATGCCTTGATATCTGCCCCCAACCTGTCAGGCAGGCCAGCTGCCCCTGGTGAAGCCTTACCTGCAGTCAGTCCAGAGCCACAACAACAGGAGTGTGAACGAGGCGCTGAACAGCTGCTGAGGGAAGAGGAGGATTACCAGGTGGGTGTGGAGAAGGGAGCCCTGTCTGGGTCGGCAAAGCAGTGAGTCCCCAACCCAGGAGCAGGCTGGGCGCTCCCCCTGCACCAGCCAGTCTATTCTCAGAGCAGGCTACAGGGCACTGGTGGGTACAAGGACAGGGGCCTTTCTGAGGCCAGGGTGGCAGCCACCTCCAGGTAACGCCATGTGCCTGCTCATTGTGCAGGCAGCCCATGTCATGTGTCACATCCCTCATGGAAAGGCTGTCTTCCTAGGGCTTGAGGTCATCTGTTGATGCCTATGGCAACTTCGACAGCATCGGCCTGGAGAAGCCCCAGCTGATGGAATTCAGGCGTGTCTCGGCCTCTCTGTACAAGTGCAGTAATCGGTGGGCCCAGAGTGTGGAGCTCTGCAAGAAGGATCATCTCTACAAGGTCGGTGGCCCCATGCCCCCACTTCCTCCCACCCTGCCCCGAAGTGTGCCCCCTGATGTTTTTGGGTGGAGGCCACACCTTCCCTCTTCTTCCCGAGGCCTGGCTCTGAGGTTCACCAGGAGATCCTTGTGGGGGCGAGGGGTTGACGTTAAGCGGGAGCATGTTTAGAATGTGGGGTGAGCATTTCGAGCCCTCTAGAGCCCCTTAAAAATTGTTTGGATTGACTCTCACAGAATCTTAGAGAGTTGATTCTCTTCCCAGAAGTTGCACATGAGTTTCACTCGACCTGTACACAATGTGGCAGAATTCACTGCTTTTATTATTATTATTATTTTTTTTTTTTTTTTGAGACAGAGTCTCGCTTTCTTGCCCAGGCTAGAGTGAGTGCCGTGGGGTCATCCTTACTCACAGCAACCTCAAACTCCTGGGCTCAAGCAATCCTCCTGCCTCAGCCTCCCGAGTAGCTGGGACTACAGGCACGAGCCACCATGCCCGGCTGATTTTTATATTATATATATTAGTTGGCCAATTAATTTCTTTCTATTTTTATGGTAGAGACAGGGTCTCGCTCAGGCTGGTTTTGAACTCCTGACTTGAGCAATCCGCCCGCCTCGGCCTCCCAGAGTGCTAGGATTACAGGCGTGAGCCACCGCGCCCGGCCTATTATTATTATTGTGGGGTTTTTTTCCCAACAACTGCCTTCTGTGAGGAGGATTCACTTCTTGACGTCTACTTCACTTCCTTTCAAGATTTGGGGAATTTAAAAACCTAAATTAAAATCACATTCAAAATATTTGTTTCATAAAGGGGCATGGTAGCACATGTCTATAATCCTCGCTACTCAGGAGGCTGAGGCAGAAGGATTCCTTGAGCCCAGGAGTTTGAGTTTACAGTGAACTATGATGATGCCACTGCACTCCAGCCTGGGTGACAGAGTGAGACCCTGTCTCAAAAAAATAAAAAAATAAATTGCTTTAAAGTTGTGCATGGTGACACACCTGTAGTCGCCGCTACTGAGGAGGCTGAGGCAGGAGGATCATTTGGGAGGAAAGAAAACAAAACATTTGTTTTTCTGCCATCGAGAGATGGCTTAGCACCACTCTGAGATCCAGGTCCAGGCACCGGCTCAGCAGGTGGGCCATCTGGAGAGATCGCCAAGACCCCGAAGGCATTGCTACCCTCTGCTTGGCCCAGCTCTGTGCAGTGGGTAGAGGGGAGCTATGCAGAGGGCCCTTGTCATAGTCTGCAGCTGCGCTGATTCCCAAGGGCTCCCTGGCCAGGAGACCCTGGAAGCCCCCAGCAGATCGTGAGCTTGATCCAAGGGTGTTAGTTTTCTGAGTTGTCCTTGGGCATTTCTGTCTTCCCAGGACAGACAGCTGCCACATCTTGCCTAGCACAGGGTCTCACTCCCATCGCATCTGGGTGCAGCTCTTGGCTTAGACTCCACTGAGGCCTGTGACCCCTGATGTTAGGGTCGCATTGGGCTTTACCCCGAGTTGCCATCTCCAGTGTTTTGGACTGTTCTGTGACAGCTGCTAGCCCTTAGTGACGGTGCTCGGGGTCCTGCCTAGAGTGCCCGTGGGCCCTGCACAGGGTGCTGAGAGGCAGTGCTGCTGAAGCTCTGACATTGCTCATGAAGGTCTCAGGACCTGACACTGGGAGGTGACAGCCAGGCTCAGACACACCTAGGGAAGCACACCCCCCGCCCCCAGCTGGCCGTCACAGCCACTGTGTCCTGCCCACACGGCGTCTGCTAGGGGCTGCAGTGCAGCCTCTCGCCACTCAGGCAGTGAGGGGTGAGTGGTGCTGCAAGTGCTGCCAGAGGCCTGCTGGCCTTTCCAGCCACCCACTCGGAGCCACATGGGCCAAGAAGGCAGTCCAGAAGACAAAGCTATGGATAGATAGTGGCTGTCAGTCAGGGTGACTTTGGCCCTTGGGGGGCATTTAGTTGTCACAGTTGGGGGTGTGGCACTACTGGTGGGAGGTAGAGGCAAGAATGGTGCCCACAGCCCTGAGGCACAGGCCTCCAGCGTCAGCCCTGCAACCAGAGCCAAAGCCTCCTGGGAGGGGTGGCCAGGTCACAGCATGCCCAGTCAGGCAGCGACAGGAAGAAGTATTTCCAAATGGCAAAAGTAGAGCTTAGATAAAAGCATGGTGGACAGTGGCAGCTGTGAGGTGTGGGGTATCCACTGCGCATGGGAAGCTCGGTGCTGAGGAACATGGGATGGGCAGGACGGGAGGCAGCTGCTTTGGGGTTGAGTGTAGACCGAGGTGGGAGGAGCCCAGGACCTTCTATCCCCAGGAGTGAAGAAAGGGGCCTGCGGAAGATAAGGTTCATGTGGGAGGGACCAGGACAGGACCTCAGGCTCTGGTAGGGGTCTGGGAGGAGGGAGGTGAACACAGGGAGGAGGACAGAGATAAAGCTGCCTTAAGAGTGGCATGGGCTAGGGTAGCGATGAGAGGGGAGGGTAAGGAAGAGCTTCAGACTTGAGCCGGCCCCCGGCTGCAGGAGCAGGTACTGCTGGCACCCGGGAGTCCTCTAGGGAGCCACTAGTGCACGGCTGAACTTGTGGTCTGGAGCACAAGGGTTCTGGAAACATCCGCTTTCTGGTGACAGTGGTTGAGGAGGTGCCCACGTTCAGGTGCAGGCTGCAGACAAGCCAAGGGGACGGGGCAGGACTGAGCGGACCGAGCAGCGGGCAGCTGGGGAGGTTCTTTCCTGCGGGGAAGGTCTGGAGGGGGCTGCTTGGGGCCGGCTCACAGCGGCTGGGTCCACGTGGGAGTGGAGACTGAGCGTCTTCAGGAGGCTCCAGAGCAGGATTCAGAGGCAACAGTGGGCATGTGGAGCAGGACCACCATGGTTGTCCCCAGAGAGTGCAGCGACTGTGGGCACTGATCTCGGGGTCTCAGGCCTCCAGTCTCTGAAAAGGGTGACAGCAGCCCTGCCGGAGTCAGACAACCAGCTCCAGCATGTGGCTAGAGAATAGAGAACCGCTATAAAGGGCACTGGTTTCCTGATGACTAATAATGTTGCATCATTTTGTAAACAGTGTTTTAGACAAACAAATTTGCAAGGATGAAAATGGCAGTTAGGGGTTTTTGAGGGACTTGAAGGAAAAGCAAGTTGCTGTTTCCCAAACACTCGCTAGCCATGCCCCTCACCGGCAGTTGGCTTGAGTGCGGTACCTCTGTAGTCCCTCCCTTGTCAGCACCCACCCCAGCCTGCTGCACACTCCCTCTGCCCATGATCACTGGCCCTGAGGCCAGAGCCCCTGTCTCCCAGGGCACCTGTACCCATGTGGGCCACCTCCAAGCAGCCAGGTTCAGGGACTGGCTCAGCCACGTGTCCAGACTGGCTCTGGAGTGCAGGGAGGCCTTCGCAGAGCCTGGCACTGTTCCCTGCCCTGCTAGCCCAGTCGCCTGTGGGGCCGAAGCCTCTGGCTGCAGCACAGCTGAGCCATGTGTCTTCCTGGGCCGCAGGACACCATGCAGCACGCCGCAGAGTCGCGGGATGCCGAGCTGGCTGAGAAGTTGCTGCAGTGGTTCCTGGAGGAAGGCAGGCGGGAGTGCTTTGCAGCCTCGCTCTTCACCTGCCACGACCTGCTCCACCCTGACGTAGTTCTCGAACTGGCCTGGAGACACAACCTCATGGACTTCGCCATGCCCTACTTCATCCAGGTGATGAGGAAGTACCTGAGAAAGGTGAGCATATGGGCCCAACCAGCCCTGGCCTGGCTTCGGGAATGGCCCCTTCCCTTCACACTCAGGTGGTTTTCTGCCCAATATTAACCCCCTCCAGAAAATCACCATGGTGGGTGTTGAGCAGAACTGAGCACTTCCCCCTCGCAGCAGCTCTCCTGCAGATCCTGCCTGGGAAGCTACAGTGGCATGCACACTGCCAGGGAGCATGATAGGTGCTCACTGATGGCCTTGGATTTCATCAGGGTGACAGTGAGGCACCAGCTGGTGACAGCATGTGGGGCTCAGAGAGCCTCCAGTGGAGTCTGGGGTATAGCTGTGGGGTTACCTATTGGTGATACCCCCTTGGCTGAACACATAGTAGGAATGATAATGCATGCATCGAATTCCTCTAACAGCTGTAGCTTTATCTGCCTCATCAAGGTAACAGTGTCTGATTTTAAAACTCTCCCTGGGTGTCGAAGCCCTAGGAATCCCTATCTGGGACCTACCCACTGTCCAGAGACCTGTGTCATCTGGTCCAGTTTGTGGTTTCTAACACTGTGGAAAACCCACCTCTCAGCAGCACCTACTTGCCCATCCAGCCGTACACTTGCTCTCCTTCAAGCCAAATAGAGAGCCCAAAGCTACTCATGCTGAGGCTTCTTTCTGTGGTGCAAGGGAAGGTAGGGGCCTCCCAGGTTAGCGACAGCCAAAAAGAAACAAGAAGCGGGCTAGTGCTGCCAGCTCTGGCCTGGAAGGGCTTGCGAGCCTGCCTGCACCTGCAGAGCCTCTCAGAAGCTACCAAGCCCCCAGCGAGGGCCACCCCAGAGGCCTTGCAAAACTATCTCCTGCTGTAGGAGAGTGACGCAGTCCCACCCACACAGACACCTGAGTATGAGGCTCCCTGGTGACTCTGCAGGGGTAGGGCAAAGGGTAGCCCTAACCATGTGGCCTGATCTGTATGGTCTGCCAGGGGACACACATGGGTTAGATTTACAAAGGTCCCTGGTTCCTCAGCCACAGTGGGTGGCAGCTCCCTACAGGAGATGTCTGTGTTGTGTAGAGTTTGCCTCGGAAACTGCTCTCACCCACCGGGAGCTGCTTTTCCCATCCCTAAAGTGTCTTCACCAGAAAGCGGTCTTTTTTGAAAGCCTGCATAAAGAAAGAGGAATGTGGGGCCGGGCGCGGTGGCTCACTCCTGTAATCCTAGCACTCTGGGAGGCCGAGGCGGGCACATCGCTCGAGGTCAGGAGTTCGAAACCAGCCTGAACAAGAGCGAGACCCCCATCTCTACTATAAATAGAAAGAAATTAATTGGCCAACTAATATATATACAAAAAATTTAAGGCCGGGCGCGGTGGCTCACGCCTGTAATCCTAGCTCTCTGGAAGGCCGAGGCGGGCGGATTGCCTGAGGTCAGGAGTTTGAAACCAGCCTGAGCAAGAGCAAGACCCCGTCTCTACTATAAATAGAAAGAAATTAATTGGCCAACTAATATATATAGAAAAAATTAGCTGGGCATGGTGGCACAGGCCTGTAGTCCCAGCTACTCAGGAGGAGGATCACTTGAGCCCAGGAGTTTGAGGTTGCTGTGAGCCAGGCTGATGCCACGGCACTCACTCTAGCCTGGGCAACAAAGCGAGACTCTGTCTTATAAAAAAAAGAAAAGAAAGATGAATGCGGCTTGAATCTCTTCCTGACAGTGGAGGCCCAGCTATTAACATAAGAGGAAGTCATGCCCACCCAGACCTCAGAGGTATCACTGCTGCAGGGGTTGGACTACTGAGGACCCCCAAGGACCTGGGGGAGCACATTCCCTCTCTGTGGTGGATGATGAGTTCATTCCGGCAACCATTGTCACCGTGGCAGCACTGTGGCTGCACAGACAACTCAGGGTTGTCATTAGAGGACACTGCTTCTTGGCCTGGGGTTCCCAGACCCCTCTACTGCCCCTGCTGCCCACCTGTGCCTGCCAGGGCCAGACAAGGTGCCTGTTATGGGGAGAGGGTCAGGGAGAGCAGGGGGTCATCCCTCTGAGATGCCCCCATGTCACTCTGCTAGTGGAGGGTATAGGCCCCGCTCAGAACTCGGCCGTGGGTGTCACCAAGCTGGAGGCAGAAAGGACAGACTGTGGGGCCAGCATGCCAGTCGGCCTCCTTCCTTCCCTTTCAGCCCTGGACTGGGGCAGCTGGGAGCTGGCAGGGGCCTCACCCGATTGCCCCAGGGCCAAGCTCACAGCAGGCACATTCTTTCTTCTTGCTCAGCACTTGTTTGAGGGGATCCTAGAAACACAGTTGTCACTGCCCCCACCAACACAGTGCCATGCCTCTGCCAGCCCCCAGTACCACCTCACTCTCTTTCCTGCCCAGCCTGTGAGCTCGGGCAGGAGCAGCTCTGAGCTGGGGCGGTGCCTGGTCAAGCCTCAGGGAAGAGTAAGGAGGCAGCTAGTCCTCAAATGCCTCTCAGGGGAAGTGTCATAGGTGCCAGGTGACTTGTCTCCTGAGGACCACATGATCTCTCTACTGGCTAAGAGGGGCGGGCAGCCCAGTCGGGCTGTTCCCTGCACACTGCCCCAACCCTGCAGGTCTGTAGGCAGTGTGTCCCTGTGTCTGGAGGAGGAGCTGGCCCCATGAGCCAGGACACACTCATGGTCTGCAGCTACCGCTGCTGTAGTACACCTGGGGGCCAGATGCCCGCTGGGAAGCTGCTGGGCTGGAACAGCACCTGGGCTCCACCAGACGCTCCATACAACCCAGCTACAGAGGCCTCATCAAGGCCTCCCTGCATTCAAAATGTGCTTGGGGTGTGGAGCCGGCCACTCCGTGCCTGCCCATGTGCATATCCCTGGCTCCAACTCTCCTGGGGTCCCCGTATCCGGACCTTCTACTCCATGTTCACCCAGAGACCTGAACCCTGCTGTCAGGTGGGTGCTCACATGCCCTCGCCCCCTTGCAGGTGGACAAACTGAATGCCTCGGAGAGTCTGCGTATGCAAGAGGCACATGTGGCAGAGCCCGCCCCCTCATGTTTGGTAGGTGGCATCTGTTGTGCCCAGTTCCCTGGAGAGGAGAGTGGAGGTGGTTCACATTGCCCTTCTTTAGCTGGGCTTCAGATGGGGATGGGAACGGATGGGACGGGGCTGGAACCCCAGTGGCTGCCAGATATGGAGGCGGTGTATGTCCAAGAATGTTGGCACAGCCACTGTCTTCCCTGCCTTGAGGGCACCTGCATTCTGAAAAGGGTGCCTGCCCAGCTGAGAGCTGCCACTGTGTCCTGCCCTATCTGGCTGCCCCAAGTGGCAAGGCTGCTTCTGGCGTGTGCTGGGGGAGGGGCTTTGTGCCTGAGAGCCTGCCCTAGAAGGCCTGGCTGTCAAGTGGACTGGAGAGGCAATGGGTGCTGGGAAGGCTGCGGGGCTGACATGGGCCTGAGGGGTGGTATGAGCACGCAGCATGCCAGCTGGTCTCAGTTCCCCTGAGTGTGCCCACCCATCATTAATGCCAATCTGGTCTTTCTAGATTTTGATGGGCATGAGTGAGACCCAGCCGAATGAGCTAAGTGTCCTGTTTGGGGACTAGCTTACCCTCTAGCCTGGCCCCACACCAGCAATACCCACACTCCTTGCCTCCAGCTGCCTCAGCCTCCTGGTGCTCAGGGCTGGTCCTGCAGACCCTGCTCCTGGGGCCCCTGGCTACTCAGGCAGCCAGGGGAGGACCAGGTGGGCAGCAGGAGCCCTGCTCACTGTGTGTCTCTGTCTGCAGGCCAAGAGCTGATGCTGACAGCTGGCCCTGCCCCTGCTGGCTCCCCTGCGGATACACTGCTGCCCCTGCCTTCACCCAGATCCTGTGTACGGCTTCAGTGTGTAGTGGGCACTGTGTCTCCAAGAAGCCTGTCACTCTTGGGCACAGAGGACCCCAGTGGGAGGCAGGGACACCCGGACATTATTTATTTTTGCTAAAGCCCAATGATGGCAGCTTCTGAGTCATCCTGGAGCCTGGGGAGGCCAGGGGAGACCCCCATCCCCCAGGGTAGACACTGACTGCCCAAGACTAGCTCCAGACTCCAGCAGGGAGGTGTACCTCTGCCTCTCTGCCCTCTGGCTGGAGCCAGGCGTCACTAGGGAGGTTCTTCTCAAGGATTCCCTGTCGCTTGGGGGATAGGGCACCCTCCCTTCACCCCACACTGGCTAGAAGTGCTTCTTCCAGGCGACTTCGGAGACACAACATGAATACGTCCTGTATGGAGGTGCCAGAGCTCCTAACACGGCCCTGAGCCTCCTGCTGATGATGAATATTACAGTCAGTTTATCAAGGCGAAGCTTCTCTGCTTGGTGCTTGTGTGGGTAGGAGGGACAAGGGCCGATTTCACAGCCCTGCAGCCTGCTAAAGATTCCCTGGGACCTCTTTGCGGGTGGGGACCCGTGTCTGCCCAGGGAAGCTGCCTGGGAGAATACGCCGGGTTGTATTTGGAGTCCTCCCGAGCTCTAAATCCGGGAGAGGGGCAGAGGTGGGACTGCACAGCCCCGCGGAGTGTCGGAACACCAGACCCTGGTACCGGGGGGGACGGGGCTGGCCGCACGTGTCTAGGGGTGGATATACCCCTCTCGCCTCCGGACTCCCCAAAGTCCTGCCTTTCTCTGCAGACGCGCAGACTGCGAGGCCCGCTCGTTCCCGCGCGGGTGTCCGCCCAGGCCCAGGCGCGCTATAGTCTCTTGCACCTTGACCCGCAGCTCCGCCCCCTCCCCGCCGGTCTAGGTTTTCGGGGACTCCGCCTCGGCCATTGGCTGCTCCCCGGGCCCCGCCTCGGCGCGCCCCGCCCCAGCCTCAGTTTCCCGGCCGGCACAGGGCGGGCCGGGGGCGGGGCCCGGCTCGGACCACGCGGGGCGGAGCCCGGGAGCCGACACGGCCGCCCCGCCCCCGGGACATAACCGGCCACCGTGCACTGAGCGCCCAGCGCTGCAGGCTCGGACCCGAGGCTCCCACCGGGCGCGCCGCCTCCCGCCCGCCATGGCCGCGCCACGCGCCCCCCGCGCCCTAGCGGCCGCCGCGCCCGCGTCCGGGAAGGCCAAGCTGACGCACCCGGGGAAGGCGATCCTGGCAGGTGGGCCCCGGCGGGACGCGGGCCTCGACCCTGCGACCCCCGGCGCTTCCGGGTGGGCCCGGGACGCCGAGGCCCCGCCCCACTTCCGGGTTGGGCTGGGGGCGTGGGGGATGGGGGCGCGGCCCTGTCCCCGGTCCAGCGTGCAGGGGTCGCCCCGCTTGTCGCGCGGGGACGGCGGGGTGGGGGCGCGGGCCGGCCGGGCCCGGGCGAGCGGCGCCGGCGCGGCTGGGCCTCCGGGCGAAGTCCGGGCGGGGGAGGGGCGGGCTGCGCGGCGGGGTCTCAGCCCCCGGTGCCGGTGCCCGCAGGCGGCCTGGCGGGCGGCATCGAGATCTGCATTACGTTCCCCACCGAGTACGTGAAGACGCAGCTGCAGCTGGACGAGCGCTCGCACCCGCCGCGGTACCGGGGCATCGGTGAGCCGGGCGGGCGCGGGGCGGCGGGCGGGCGGGCGGGCGGGCGCGCGGGTCCTGACCGCCCCTCCCCTAGGGGACTGCGTGCGGCAGACGGTCCGCGGCCACGGAGTCCTGGGCCTGTACCGCGGCCTCAGCTCCCTGCTCTACGGCTCCATCCCCAAGGCGGCCGTCAGGTGAGGCCCGCGGGTGGCCGCGGGGGTCGGGGGGGCTCCCGGCGGCGGCGCGGCTCTTCTCACCCGCCTCCGGCCCCCAGGTTCGGAATGTTCGAGTTCCTCAGCAACCACATGCGGGACGCCCAGGGACGGCTGGACAGCACGCGCGGGCTGCTGTGTGGCCTGGGGGCCGGCGTGGCGGAAGCAGTGGTGGTCGTGTGCCCCATGGAGACCATCAAGGTGGGGAAGGCCCCTGCGAGGAGACAGGCATCGGGGTGCAGGGGTGGTGGGTGGGGTGGTCCTGTGCCCCACGGAGACCGGCAAGGTGAGGAGGGAGGGGGTACCGCAGGGGCCCTGCTGGGGGCCGGGGGCCTGGCAGGAGGGTCCTCCCACGGAGACTCACTACTGTGAAGGCAAAGGGGTGATAACACTAAGGTCTTTAGGAAATATTATTATCAACAGAAAACATAAAATAACAAGCTTGCTGTCAAAACCGTGAAAGATAGCAGCAAACAGAATGGTAGACACTCTTTACCAGGTGGCCTTTGGGCCCTTGTGTTTTGGGGCCCATCTGCGTTGGTGTCCCAGGGCAGCCTTGGGCAACGCTGCTTCCCAGATAGCCTGGCATGGTAGGCTCTGGGCCTACTAGCTAGGGGCCAGGTGTGCCCTTCAGGGGCTGGCTGGGAGCTACCACCTTTGCTTCCCTCTCTCAGGTGAAGTTCATCCATGACCAGACTTCTGCCAACCCCAAGTACAGAGGATTCTTCCATGGGGTTAGGGAGATAGTACGGGAACAAGGTGAGTTACTCGGCCTTCCTTGTCAGGATCAGGGGCCTTGGCCAGGCTGGAGGGGCCAGCACTTCCCCTTCCTGCCTTGGCGCCCCCATCCCAGCTGGGGCCTGGGCAACATCGCTGTGACCCCATACTTGCCTGCCCCCAGGGCTGAAGGGGACATACCAGGGCCTCACAGCCACCGTGCTGAAACAGGGCTCCAACCAGGCCATCCGCTTCTTCGTCATGACCTCCCTGCGCAACTGGTATCAAGGTACGTCTGCGCTCTGGGCTCCACCTCCAGACACTCCAGGATGTGGGGCCCCCTCCTCAGGCCTGGTCCAGGCTCTGCCCCAGCCTACAATGCCCCGTTCCCCTTTATCCTCCAGCACCCTCTGACCACACCCCCACCCCTATCCAGGGGACAACCCGGACAAGCCCATGAACCCCCTCCTCACTGGAGTCTTCGGAGCTGTGGCAGGCGCAGCCAGCGTCTTCGGGAACACTCCTCTGGATGTGATCAAGACCCGCATGCAGGTGGGATGGGGCCAGGCATGGGTAGGGGAGCTTGGGCCGCAGCTGACTGCTGAGCTCTGGCCTGCTGGTGTCCTGCAGGGCCTGGAGGCACATAAATACCGAAACACGTGGGACTGTGGCCTGCAGATCCTGAGGAATGAGGGTCTCATGGCGTGAGTGGGGGAGGGGCAGGGCTACTGTCCCCTCTTCGGACCCTCCCTTGCTGACCTAGCCTGCCCCAGGCATTCCCTTTAGCCTTCGTTATCTCCCCTCCTATATCTGGGTCACCTTTTTCAGGGATCCTGCCCTTACCTGCCTTGCTCACCTCCCGTGCCTCCCCCACCCAGGTTCTACAAGGGCACCGTCCCCCGTCTGGGCCGGGTCTGCCTGGACGTGGCCATCGTGTTCATCATTTACGACGAGGTGGTGAAGCTGCTGAACAAGGTGTGGAAGACAGACTGAGCCTGTGGGCACTCGTGGGGCCTGCCCAGGGCCTGCAGAACAGCCCCACGCCCCGGCTCATGTGACTCCAGTGCAGTAGTGCCAAAAGGCCCTCCCATGTCCCTCAAGTCCATGTGCCCTGTAGTGCCATGACTCCCCCGTGGTCTGTGTGTGAAACTACCACCGTGTCCACATGTCTGGCAAGGCTGGGCATCCCTCTGCCTGTGAATCTGTGCCCACTTGTCCATGTGCTTCCTCGTGACCCCTGTGCCTGTGTTTCGTGTTCTGTGTCATGTGACACTGTGCCCCTCGTCCCGGGGTGCCCATATGGCCTGGACCCGCGGCCCTGTAGCCATGGCCCAGACCCAGCCCGGTGCCTTCCACCCTGCCCCAGCCTACCACAGCTGCCTCCGGGCCTTGGCCTGGCTTCACCGCATTCCAGGGGCTGCATGCCCCCCCCACCCCGCTTCTCCCGCCATTGGCCTTAACTGGCCCTCGGGCCCTCCCTCCGCCCGGGACAGGGTGGCACCCGCCACTCTCAGGACCACCCTGCCAAGGCAGAATAAACCGGATCCTGTTGCAGCCTCGTGCCCCTGCATCTGTCCCTGCGTGGGCCCATCTGTGGGTGGGCAGGGGTGGCTGTACCTCTGCAGACCAGTTCACCCCTCACCTGAGGACACTGCAGGCAGGGCACAGGGAGAGCCCAGTGTCCACCTGGGCCAGGGCAGCTGGGGCCACAGTGTTGGTTCCCTGAGAGGCCCAGCACCAGGCCAAGAAGGATCTGGGCTATGTCCCGGCCTTCCCTGTGGCCTGCAGGTCCCGCAGGGTCGGTTAAATGGTGTGTTCACGAGGTGTCCGGGTGGCCTGGCAGGCAGCATGAGTGGCAGAGGGGATGGTGGGGCCCAGGAAACAGCACTCCTGGGATGCCTGCCTGCCCACCCCTCATGTCGGGGAAGGCCTAGGGAAAGGTCGGGGTGCAGGCCCTCCTGTGGCAGTCTGTGAAGTGGGCTGCTTGTGGGAAGGAGGCCCAGGGAAATAATCCAGGTGGGGGGTGCCCAGCTTGTGCCCTGAGGCTCTAGGCCGGGCCTTTCCTCACTCCACCCAGGCTGCTGCTGGCTGGCCTGTCTGGCCAAGACCTTGGGGACCTCTGGGCACCTCACCCTACAGTCCTTGAACTTCAGAGAGTGTTTCTTTGGCCAGAGGCCATGGAGCTCTGAGCCTACAGGTCTCTATGACCTAGGCCCATCCTCCACGGTCCAGGAGCCAAGTGGAGGACACCGTTGGACAGGACAGGGTCAATGGGTGCTCCCGGATGTGTGTGGGCAGGAGGTAGCTTCCTGTCCCAGTGCCTTGGTGGGGGAAAAGTCATGCAAGTGTTTGGCTCAGGCTAGGGAACAACCTCTTGCCAGCCAGAACTCCACAGAGGCAGGTCCTGTCCCTGGGACTCTCCTTTGTGGAGGCGCCTTGGTGACCATGTGGCACAGCCCCCCCCCCCCCCGGAGTCCAGGCTGTGTGTGCGTTGGAGGCAGAGCCTGGCATGCAGATCTGACAGCCACTTGGGCTTGCGGGTGCAAAGGGAATGCAAAGTTTTGAAGGCTCCGTGGGGAGAGCCTGGGGGCTGGTCACCACTCACAGCCTGCCTGTGTGACAAGTTGGCTCTGTGCTCACAGAATTCCCAGTCTTTGCTGCAACAGGAGAGAAAGGGCCCAGGCAACAACCTCCCACCCCTGCCCCCTATACACGCACACAGGACACACAGTTGCTGGGGCTGAAGACACGCCAAGAAGCTCCCTGTCCCCCAAGCCCAGGCCACTGGCTCTGGACCTCAGCAGCTTTGCAGTGGGGTGAGAGTAGGTAATGGGCAACGCTCATGCCAGCCTCCTCATGCCAGCCTCCGTGCTGAAGCGGCACTCTGGCCCCTGGGCCTGCCCTCCAGGCCTCAGCATCTGTGGGCAATGGGGGGGCAGGCAGGGCAGAGCGTGCAGCTCTCCTGTCGCTGTGCGACCTTGGGCAAATCACCTCACCTTGATTTCCTATTCTGAGAAGCAAGGTGACAAGAGAACCTCCTTCAAGTTATGAGGGTGAAAGGAAGTGCTCCTGTAGGGGCTCGGGACGATGCTTGGTGTGCAGTGAGCCCTGGCAGACAGCTTTTCTCCTGGGTCGCAGGAGGTTGCCTCCAGGCTCCCCAGGCTCCAGGCAGTTCGTGGAACAGGCAAAGCCTAGCGGGGACCCCATGCCTGCACATACTGAGACACCAGCTACTCACTGACTACACACCTGCACCTGAGTCCTGTCCTTGTCCCTCTCCACAGGGAGGCTGGGACTGAGGCTGCACTGGCTGAGTGAAGGGTATGAGGTGGCATGGGTCTACATCCTCCCTGGGGCCTGTCCCCAGGAGCATTCTAGCTCCTATCCCTCTTCCCCCAGAAGGGGCAGGATCCCCTTACCTACAGACATCAGGGAGCCCAGCCAGAAATGCTGACTGAGCTGGGTCTGAGTGCTTTGGGGCCAAAGCATGGAGAAGCCCCCACCCTGATAGAACCACACAGTAGGCTGCTGCACACATGGGGAAATAGGCAGCCTCAACTCTCTGAGCTGAAACATGAGGGGAGGGGGGTGTGTGCAAGAAAGATCTCAGGCACCTCAGGGCTGCAGGGAAGTGAGCAGGTGACAGCAGCTTGAGAGGCACACAGGGCCTAGAGGGAGCCAAGTTGCATTTAACCAAGATTTTCGAATGCAGCAGCGAGGAGGCCAATGGCAGGGGACCAGCACAGACCAGGGTCACTGGGGCTGGAACCTTTTCCTGCTCCTGTAGTAATGAGAGCAAAGGGGCAAAGAGAGATGGGCGGGGCCCTGAGCAGAGGCTGAACACGTAGGGTGTAGCCCTGTGCTCCACCTCTCCCCAGCAACCAGGATGCTTGGCCAGTGCTAGGGAGAACCCCCGGAGGTGGCTGGTATGCACATCAGAGGGGTGTGTGGGGACTCCAGATCACCATGTTCTGCTCATAGCCGGAGCCTTGGTGCTCAGCCAAAGTCACAGCCAGCCTCCACCATCTGGCACAGTCTCAAGCCTCTGATCCTCATGGACTGTGCCCAAAGGAGACAATGGCTTCAGAGACAAGAGCAAGGCAGCAGAAGGTAAGGTGGTGACCATACCTGGGGCAGGGCTTGGCCAACTTCCAGCCCTGCCCTCACTGCTGTGGGGCTGAGGACAGGTGTCCTAACCCCTCTAGGCAAGGCCTCCAGGCAGCTGCCCTTCACCACCCCCAAACTCCTTGAAGCTCCCCTTACTCTGCACAGGCAGGCACCCCTGGGTTTTCCCACGTCCCCAAATAGGTGATGAATGACAATCAGAGCTTTACTACCCAAAAAAGCCAGTCACTCCTGACAAATAGGTCTGTCTCCTTTCAGCCAACAAAGAGAATTCTGGTTTGGGGGTTGTGTCCCTCTCCACACAGCAAGCACAATCTTGGTTGAGGATGTAGAAGTAGTATTTTCCTTGCTTTTTATTTGGTCTTAGGTAACAGAATAAGGATGTCCCTCAAGATCTGGGAACAGGGACAGAAACACAGGCACAGTGGAGAAATGGCTGGAAAAGACAATGGCAGGACCACGGAGGACACTCAGGTTCATGGATAAACATAGCGAGGCCAAAAATGTGGGTGACCCACAGAAAATATGGTGGCCCTGTAGCTCCCCTCCTCCCATGCCCACCTGGCAAATATCCCTGAGAGCAGCCTCCCCTCTGCTCTGGTTGGGCCAGGTCCTGACTCCCGACTCTCCCTAAAGCAGCCTTTATCACAAATTGTTGTCACATTTGTCTCCTCGGCCTGGCTACACCTACCCCCACCCACTGAATCCTCCATTGGCTGGGCGTGATCTGGAAGGCCCCACTTGGCCACAGGGTGTCATCTCCTTAAATGACCTCATGGGTTGCACCATCTCACCCCTCTGCTTCCTAGTTCTGCTCAAGTCAGGGCCTGTGGCTCATGAACTCCGAGCACTGCGCAAGCCCTGGCTGGCAGGGGGGCGGTTTCCGGGTGCTGACCAGGCTGGACCAGCCTGCCAGTTGGCCTGAGGGGCCCTGCACAGGCTGACCGCTCACGGACAGCCTGGGAAGGGGAAGGAGCCCCTTCCCCATAGGCCCTGGCCAGTCACCCTCCCTCATGCCAGGGAGACTCCCCCATGGCCATAAAGGAGAGAAAGTAAATACGGTGCCCACGGTGAACTAAAATAAAATTTTAAGGCTCACCCCCACCCCACCGGCTGACTGAATGGACCTCCTGGTGGCCAAAGGAATATCCTAAAACTAAATTGTCGGGCAGGAGAAGGGAGGTCAGACAGACCTTATCATGCCCCTCTCCCTTCTTGGAGACATCCAAGGCCTAAGGTATGCCTTAGGTCAGACAGACCTCATCATGCCCCTCTCCCTTCTTAGAGACATCCAAGGCCTAAAGGTATGCAAGATCCAGCAGGTCCTCAATTTACACAACAAATCTGTGTCCCAGGGTTTATCTCTGATAACAGCTCCTTATGTTGAAACACTTCCAAGCCATGACATGACAAAGCTTCATGTCTTTAACCAATTACAAGCCAAAGAATCTTTAAACCTACCTATAACCTGTAAGTGCCCACTTCAGGTGTCCCACCCCTTTGGGCCAAACCAATGTATGCCTCCCACGTATTGATTTATGATTTTACCTGTAACCCCTGTCTCCCTGAAATGTATAAAAACCAAACTGTAACCCAGCCACGAGGAGTCCACTTGCCCAAGGCCTCTTGGCAGTGGCTCCGGGTCATGGTCCTCAGATTTGGCTCAGAATAAATCTCTTTAAACTTATTTTACAGAGTTTGGCTTTTTTCTGTTGACACCGCAATCGTCATCCGAGGGCTTATCCTGCGGGTGGACCCGGTCACGGGGAAGGAGCTGTGCCCACCAGGGCCAGAGGAAGGTCGCTTCCGGTGAGGGAGGGGCGGGGTCGTGGCCGCACACCACCAGGACCTCCCTCAGCATCCGGCCACGGAGGTCCGGAGACTGGGGTCCGTGGGCGCGGGAGGCCCCGAGAGGCTTCTCGATGTCCATTTCTGAATGAGAAATCAGATCTTCTCGCCCTCGGGGAAGGGAGATCGAGGCAGGTGACGTCCCCGGAGCCAGGTCTGGCTCCCAGAGGGCCCGGGCGGCGCGCGCTGACGGCGTCACGAGGATGCGCCAGCAGCGCTGCGCGCGCATGCGCTCTGCTGGGGCAGCGGCGTGGGCGCCCAGCTGCCAGGAACGCCCCAGCCGTCGGAAGCGTGGCAGTCTGTCAGGATCGGGCTGCCTGGGGCGCTCGCGGTCACTGCCACCAACGTCGGTCGTCGGATCTCACCGTCCTCACCTGCACCTCTCGTCACTCGGCGGGCTCCGCCACCCTCGTTCCCCCTCCCCGCACGCCCGTGTGGACGCCGGAGGCCGCCAAGGGCCCTCCTGGCGCCAGGGGAGGGAACGGCCTCCCGCTGCCCGCCCGGAGATGCTGCGTGTGGCGGGGCGGCCTCCTCCCGCGCAGCCTGCCCTCCGCCGCATCTGCAGGCCCTGCTCGCCCGCGTGCGGGAAGGGGCCTGTACGCCTTCCCCAGCGGCCCTCGCCTGGCTGTCTCCCGAGTGCTCGGACCCGGACGGCAGGGCCTGCCCCGCGGCCCACCCCGTGGCCCCTCCACAGGGCCTGGGCTGGAGAATCGCTGGCCTCTGCCCAATGAAGGAAGGAAGGTCTATGACGGTGTCTCCCCAGCCTCCCCGTGTTTTTTTGCTCCTACCAGCCGTGGGAAAGGAGATGGAGCCAGGGGGTGGGGACCAACGGGGTCCACTGCTTTCGCCTCTACTCTGCCCCGCCCCGTCCTGCCCCCTGGCCAGCTCCAGTCCAGACACGTGTTGCTGCCCACGGGCTCGTGGAAGGCACAGTGGCCCTGCCACATGCCAACGGAGGAGGGGGCCTGTCGGCAGCAACACAGGAGGAGGGGTGGGATTGGGTTGTGTCCCCACGGCAGGCAGCAGGGAGCGCAGGCCACATCAGTGGACACTGGCTTATCCTGCCCCTGCCCTTGCTTTTCTCAGCCAGCCCCATTTCTCAGATAGGAACACTAGGGACCAAGGTAGACCTAGGCCTACACAGCTCTACCGTCCTGCGCCTAGCCAGAGGGGGGCTGAAGATGGCGGGGTGGGCGAGGCAGCAGGTGGCATCACATCAGCATGTCAGTGAGTCGGTCAACAAACTCCTCTCAGGGGTCTGCACCCTGCAAGGGATCCCAAGGGTTAGGGTTAGAGTCTGCAAGCGGTGGCTCCTTGTTGCTTTCTGCCCCATGCCACACGTGGAGGGCTGTGTGCCTTGGGAGCAGCCAAGCTCGGCGGGTAGGGTGACACCCAGGGGCGCGGGGCGGAGCGTCCTTCCTTGAGCCGGGACAGGAGGGGCGGGGCGCGGCTGGCTCCCTGGTGGCCCGTGAAGACCCGCAGGGGCCCAGCCCCACGCACAATCGGGCCCGTTGGCGCGACCCACCAAGCTCCGCCGCTCTCCTTCTCGAGCTCAGAACACGCCTTGGCTGGGGGAGGCGGGTACAACTGGGGAAACTGAGACCTGCGGGCGGCGAGCCCCGCGGTCTCTCCGAGCCGGGCGTCTGCAGCCGGCGCGTTCGCTGCTGACAATTGCGCGGCCAAAGCAGATTAACCCGGGTGTTAATCCCCCCTAATGGCTTCAGAATCCCCGGCGCGAGGACTAAGCCGGCCCGCGGCCCGGCCCTCCCGGCGGCTCCAGCCCGCGGCCGCCCGATGCTATCTCGGCCCTGCCCGGCCGCGGCCGCTAATCCCCGGCGCTCGCTTTCTCCTCGGCCGCCCGCGACCGGCCGATCGGCGTTTGATTGCGGCCGCCATCGAGGGCCCCTTTGTGCGATCGGCCCCAAATCCCCTAATGCCAAGATAAAGGCGGCATTAGCCGGCGTTTGCTGCCGAGAAAGGCGCCGGGATGAAAGAAAGCAATCAGGGGATACTGAGGCCTGGGCGGCGCGGGGAGGGCGTGCGGGGAGTCCTGGGCCCGGCGGCCCCCACCCGGCCAGCCTCCGCGCTCGGGCGGCGCCGCCACCCCGCACCCCCTCCGGCGCCCGGCTGCCCTTTGGCTGTGGAAGCCCCGGGCTCGGACGCGGAGGGACCGCCGCCCCCGCGCAGCTCCGCACCGGCGCTCTCGCCCCTGCCTGTCCCAACGCGGCCGTCTGTGGGGGCACATCCCAGGAGCCCTTCCTCCCCGTTCCCCCCAGCCCCAAAGGACCCCTGGAGACCTTGGCTCCCCTATCCGGCCCGCCCTTTTGGCACCCACCAGCTGGAAATAGCTCCATCCGGTCCGGGAAAGAAGTGATGGTGCCAGGGGCCACTGGGATTGACCGGGGAGGGGTGGGGAGCAGGCGGGCCCAGCAGGGAAGGTCCCTTTGCAGAGGCCTGGGGAGCCCTGGAGATGGGACTGCAGGAGCCAGGCTGGCTGCCAGCCCCTCTGTCCATGGAGCTGCCCCTCGGGCCTGCGCATCTGAGCTGAGGGGAGAGGCCGGGTGGGGCAGGGGGGAGGCGGCAGAGTCCAGGGCATCGGAAGCAAGGGAGTGTCGGGATGGGGTTGGTGTTTGTCAGGAGCCTGCAGGCTCTCTGGGGAGACTCACTCTGGGGAGGGCTAGGAGAGAAAAGTGGCTGCGAGTGGGTTCAGAAGCCACTGTGGGGGTGCAGGTGGCAGGCACCCATGACTGGCGCTAAGATGGGGCCAGTGCAGCTGGACGGGCATGGGCGATGACCCGTGAGATCCGAGCATGGTGGGGGGTGTCAAGCATGGCATCAAGCATTTGCCAGGACATGCAGGTGGGTGAGTGGGTGTTCACCTGGGTGGACCAGTGAGTATTTACCGACGTGAACAGGAGCCTAGATGTGTGCTTACCCAGGCAGGTAGGTGGGAAGGTGGACCACATACACAGGGACAGTGGGCGGGTGTGCACCAGTGGCTCCTCCAGATCCTCTTGAGCGGTTGGGGCGCTGCTGCCCCAGCTGAGTATTGGCTCCTGGTGGCTCATGGCACCCCCAGGTCTTGAAGAATTGTCCTGGGTGATGGGAGCCACGCACACAGCAGCCCTCCAAGCCCAGGGGCAGAACCATGACAATGACTGCCATGGGCCCATCCCTGCTTTGCCACAAGGTGGTTCAAACCTGTGAAGGGCTCTGTGCCTGCCCCAGCCTGTCCACGTGAAGTGACACGGAAATGCCTTTAACCAAGGTGGCACCCTACCCCATCCTGCCCTGCCCAGGGTGACCAGCCATGTCCATTTCCCCAGGACCAAGGAATTATTTCCTGGGAAGCAGAACTTTCGGTGCTAAAACTGGGAGATTCCCAGGCAAACCAGGGTGGCGAGTCCCCTGCATGTCTGTCGTGTCCCCAGAGGGGGCTGTTGGAGCCCTAACCCCCAGTACCTGTGAATGTGAACTTATTTGGAAATAGGGTCTTTTTTTTTTTGAGACAGAGTCTCACTCTGTTGCCTGGGCTAGAGTGAGTGCCGTGGTGTCAGCCTAGCTCACAGCAACCTCAAACTCCTGGGCTCAAGCGATCCTCCTGCCTCAGCCTCCCAGGTAGCTGGGACTTCAGGCATGCGCCACCATGCCTGGCTAATTTTTTTCTATATATTTTAGTTGGTCAATTAATTTCTTTCTATTTTTCGTAGAGACGGGGTCTCTCTCTTGCTCAGGCTTGTTTTGAACTCCTGACCTTGAGCAATCCGCCCACCTCGGCCTCCCAGAGTGCTAGGATGACAGGCGTGAGCCACCGCGCCTGGTCTAGAAATAGGGTCTTTGCTGATGTCATTAAGAGGCAAATTAAGATGAGATCTTACTGGAGTAGGGTAGGTCCTTAATCCAACATGCCAATGTCCTTATAAGAAAAGAAGGACACAGAGAGGAAACCGCCACGGTAAGCCATAGGGACAGATGGGCATTTGTAAGCCAGAAAGCCAAGGATGTCCAGAAATGCCAGAAGCTGAGAGACAGGCACAGGTCAGACTCTCCCCTCACACCTTCAGAGAGAGAGCACAGCCCTGGTGACACCTTGCTCTCGACTCCTGGCCTCTGGCACTGCAAGAGAATACACTTCTGACACTGGAAGCCGCCTGGTGTGTGGTCCTGTGTTACAGTACCCATGGGAACTTAATACAGATTCCACCACTCTTCTCCTAACAGCACATACTCAAAAATAGGTCATTCAGGCTGGGTGCGGTGGCTGACGCTTGTAATCCTAGCACTCTGGGAGGCCGAGGCGGGCGGATCCCTCAAAGTCAGGAGTTTGAAACCAGCCTGAGCAAGAGGGAGACCCCGTCTCTACTATAAATAGAAAGAAATTAATTGGCCAAAAATACATAGAAAAAATTAGCTGGGCATGGTGGTGCATGCCTGAAGTCCCAGCTACTCAGGAGGCTGAGGCAGGAGGATCGCCTGAGCCCAGGAGTTTGAGGTTGCTGTGAGCTAGGCTGATGCCACGGCACTCACTCTAGCCTGGGCAAAAAAAAAAAAAAAAAAAAAAAAAAAAAAGGTCATTCGAACAAGAATCGTCACACCAGGCTTTCCTTCTAGGGAACTTGGCCTGAACAGTTGGTCCCAGGAGTGGGTGGTCCTAGGAAGCTGACTCCAAAGATGGCACCTGGAAGTTGGCTCCCTAGCTGGCAGGTGGCAGTGAGGACCCACCTGGCAGTCCGTGGTGTTCGTTGGCTTGTAGTGCCAAGGTGGCAGGTAGAGAATCGATAGCTCCCAGCCTGGGTTGCAGTGTGACAGCAAAGACTGTCACCTGGGAGACCTCTGGTGGCATGAGGCAGTGGCTGGTGCTATGGCCCTGGCACTGGAGAGGGAGGGAGGACACAGGGACTCCAAAGCCCTGGGACCAAGAGGCTGCTGCTCAGCACTGTTGATTCCTTGAGGGAGAGAGCGTGACAGGTTCCGATCGTTTTCACCCCTAGTGTGAAGCAGGCATGAGTGTCAGAGCCCACCAGGCACACGCAGAGACCCGGCCAGCAGAGCCAGGGCCCGACGCTGAAGCAGTGAGGCCCTGCCATATGGGCTGGGGGATCTGGGTGCACGCCCTTGAGCACTCCGAATCCCCCAGACACTCTGGGCCTGCAGAGTGGCCACTCACTCTCCGTGGGGAGGGATGCTGGCCCTGCCTCCGGAGAAAACTGTGCCCAGACGTCCAGTGAGGCAGGCGCCTGCAAGATGATCAGCCCCACCTCCCTGCTGGCCAACCCCAGCGCGGGCGCCTCTCCGCACTGCCGCCGCAGCGAGCAGGAAAGCCGAGCAGTGCAGGAGGCGGGACAGCAGCCCTCGAGGGTCAGTGGAGCAAGGGAGTGGGCTGCAAAGGAGGGTGAGGACAAGCTGATAAGCAGACAAGCAGATAAGGGTGCTCTCCCTGTGACTCAGGAGGTTGCTGTGATATGACAGCCCCTGGAACCTTGGACAAAGTCATGGCCTGCAGCCAACAAAATGGAGACACACATGAAGGAAGAGATCGGAACACTAAGAGAAGATGGCAGAGAAGATTGGGTTTACTATTTGAAAAGCCTCAGGACAGCCTAGACACTCATTTATCAAGGTGACAAAAAGCACACCAGTGGCAGCTGTCCTCTGTAGGCCAGGCGGGAGATGCTGTTACTGAGCTGGCTCTCTCGTGGGGAGGGGGTGCCAGGATCCCAGCGGTGCAGATGCCAGGTGGCAGCACTTAACAGTCAGGAGTGAGGTGGGAGTCAATGTCACCCCGATTGCAAAGTGGAGTAGGGGCTGAAGATGGCCACAGCATTTTGGAGGTGGCTTAACAAATCTGGTGTGTTCTTGGCCGGATGCAGTATGCAGTGGCGCACACCTGCAGTCCTAGCACTCGGGCGGCTGAGGCGGGAAGATCGCTTAAGCCCGGGAGTTTGAGGTTGCTGTGAGCTCTCAAAAACAAACAAATAACTAAATAATAACATGATGTCCTTAGCAACTTAGGTAAGCCTCAAGAAATATTGAGTGGGTTAGAAGAGTTCTGCTTCTGGTAGTGGTGGGGTCACTTGTATTGGACCAATCCTCCTATGGGTAAGAATGATAAACTCTGGATAAGATTGTTTTTTAATTTATCTTGAGACAGGGACTCTTGCCTGAGCTAGAGTGCAGTGGCATTATCGTAGCTCACTGCAACCTCCTAAGTAGCTGGTACTATAGGCATGCACCACCAAGCCCAGCTAATTTTTTGTTTCTATATTTAGTTGCCCAGCTAATTTTTTCTACTTTTAGTAGAGACAGGGTCTCTTGCTCTTGCTCCGGCTGGTCTCAGACACCTGAGTTCAAGCAATCCTCCCACCTCGGCCTCCCAGGGTGCTGCCATTATAGGCCACCACGAGCCGCAGCTCGCAGACCTGAAGTTTCCTTTTCCCTGCACGATGATAGACCCAGTAGCAGTCTCCCTTCCTCCGTCTTCCAGCAACATCTGCCTCACTTTCCTGTAAGTCCCCACTGCCAGCCTTGGCAAGGGTCCCTCCTGCTCCTCCCCACTGCCTGGTTCCAAAGCCAGTGCCACACGACGTAGGTTTCATATTGGTGGCACCTCACTTCCAGGACCAGAACTCAGTTGGGCACCTACAGTGACATAAACTGCCTCAAACTTGCTGCCATATAAACACCAACAATCGAGTAACACTATTGCCTCTCCTAGTCCTGGAGCCTGACCTGCGCAGCGAGGCAACTCTCACCTTTGGGGGCCCTCGTGGCTGCTGTCCGGTGGCGGCTGGGGCCGAGGCTGTCTCGTGCCGCCCCCTCGCTGGTGGGTGCTCAGGGCGGGTGGTTGTCTGGCGATTCGCTGGAGTTGCTGATTGGGACAGCCATGCTCGTCCTTCCCCGAGGCTGCTGTGCCTCCCCACAGCTTGGTGGCTAGGTGCTAAGCACAAGCAACCCAAGAAGAGCGAGGGGGACAGCTGAGTCACCTATGTATGTGCCTCAGTAATCACACAATGTCACTTCTGCTGCATTCTGTTGGGTAGAAGCAAGCCATCCAAGCCAGCTCATGTCCAAGAAGAAATTGGACAATTAAACTTCACCATCGAGAGGGAGGAGCGTCAGGAACTTGCAGACACGTTTCAGAAGCGCTGCAGTGTCCCCCACCGAGGCGGGCTGGGGAAGAGGCGGGCGCATGCGGGGGACTGGAGACAGAGAGAACTGGAGTCCCCCAAAGTGGACTGTCGGAGGTGGCCGGTTTATCAAGGTGGAGAACGCCTGGCAAGGAAGGGATTCTGAGACCTCGAATTCATGCCTGGCATGGTGACCCAAACACATTTTTTGGTGATGGATATGGGGACATGGAGCAGGCTCTCAGAAACACTTGGGAGTCACTGTCACAGACAGGGCCTGAGGCTCCAGGGCTGGAGGAGGTCACCAAGGGTAAGAATGGGGAGGGATGAAGGAATGGCCCAGGCTAGGAGGAGGGCACAGCAGTGGTGGTGGCCCTCCTGACCACTGGCTGTGGGGACGGTTGCCCCACATGCATCTGCCTCTCCCTGGGCACTGTGCTTGGCTTAGGTGACTGCACGATGCCGTTCTGCGAGGAAGGTCTGCTGAGACACGTACCCATGGTCCTCCAAAGGGACACGTGGGAAGAGATGGAGGTTCGGGGCTGTGGCAGCCATTCTGCAACTGTGAGGCAGGCTGCAGAGGCAGAGCCACTCACAGAGGTGGCAGTTCCATCACTGAGCCTCCAGATTAACACATCCTGGGCACCCAGTGTGGGAGCTCGAGTGAGCAAGTTTGTCACTTGAAGTCCAAGTGTCTTCATGGATACCAAAGTGGAGGTAGCAAAGGAGGCTGCAAGGTGGGGGAAGGGCAGGAACGCACGGGGCCTGCAGGGCAGCCCAGGGTCACTTGGCCCCTGATCCCGCAACCAGGCTCTAAACGTCTGGCCTAGTAAGCGCCTGAGTCTCAGAGCAGCTCTTGAGTTAGGTCACTGTTATTATACCAGTTTATGGACTGGGAAACCGAGGCACAGAGAGGTGAAGGAACCTACAGAAGGTCACGCAGCTAGGCAATGCCAGCTGGGTTAGACCCAGGCAGTCTGCTGCTCCTTCCCTTGAGCCGTATGGTGTGTTTTCGGAGGGCAAGAGAAGAGGGTCTTAAGCTGAAGGGCCTGTTCCTGCCGTCCAGTGGCCAAGCACAGGCCACCCGCGGCCGCGCAGTGGGCAGAGCACGGTGTGGTCGGAGCAGCGCTAGCCTGAGGGGTGAGGAGAGCCCTCCCGAGACACCTGTTAGGGGGCAGTGAGGTGGGGGGGCCGAGGGTGTTGAATGTTTTTTGGGGGGAGGGCGGGTTCCGGTCCGGGAAAGCAGGAGAAGGGGCGGCAGGGGCCTCGCTCAGGAGGGAGGACAGAGAATTGGGGGCGACGGGCAGCCGCCGCTTTCCGCCCTGAGGCCATGTCCTCTCAGGCCGCAAAGTGTCTGGCAGGTTTGCTGCCAAAGAAGGCTCGCGGGGTCGCACGTGAGCCGGAGGCCCGGAGTTTGGGGTGCGCACTTTGGGTGGTTTCTCTAGACGCGCTCACCGCCGCCACTAGGAACCAGCGCGGGGCCAGGGGCTGGGCCAGGAGGTGCCAGGGCGCTCGGGGGCGATGCCAGGGTCCCGTGTCCTCCGTTAGCTGCCCCAGCGGGAGGGGAGCACCGCCGGGCCCTCCGCCCCTTCCCGTGAGCAGGGGCGGACGGGAGGGCGCGCGGGGGCGCAGGGCGCCGAGGCGGAGCTTTCCCGCCGCCGCAGTCACGGATTAGCGCGCTCGGGGCCGGCGCTGCGGGATTAGCCCGCGCGGACTCGGCGCCCCGCCCGGGGATTATGGCGCGCTCGCCCCGACGTATATATTCCCGCGGCGCGGCGCGCCAGGCCGGCATTGCGGCGGGGGCGCGGCGAGCCGCAGGGCCCGGGGCGGCCCTGCCCCTTCTCCATCGAGCACATCCTCGCCAGCCAGCCCGAGCGGAGTCCCCCGGCCGGGCCCGCCCCCGCCCAGCCCGCCGGCCGCCAGAGCCCCGCGGAGCTCGGGAGCCGTGGCGCCGAAGGCCGCGCCCTGCGCCTGCTGCTGCTGCGGTCCCCGCGCGCCCTCGGAGGCGGCCGCCGGCTGGGTGAGTGGCGGGCGCGGCGCGGGCGGGCGCGGCGGGCCGGGCGGGGCGCGGGCCAGAGGCGGGCGCGGCGCGTCTGTGCGGAGCTCGGGCGCCGGCCCGGTCTCACCGCGCCCTCGCCCCGCAGGCGCGCGCTGCCGTGGCCGCTGAGGCTGGGCCCGCGGCCCCCGTCCTTGGCCGCGCCAGCGGACCTCGGGGGGCGCTGCCCGGCGCGGGAGGCCCGGGCCCGCAGCGGCGCACGCGGCGCCACCGCACCATCTTCAGCGAGGAGCAGCTGCAGGCGCTCGAGGCGCTCTTCGCGCAGAACCAGTACCCCGACGTGGGCGCGCGCGAGCGCCTGGCCGGCCGCATCCGCCTGCGGGAGGAGCGCGTGGAGGTGGGTGCCCGCCCCGCGCGGCGACGGGGCCGGCGGACTGGCCCTTCTCTTCCAGAGACGCCCGGCCCGAGCCCCGCCGCGGCCCCGCGCGGTGGAGGGGCCGGGAGGGGCCGGGGTGGCCCGGCGGCCGCGCGCTCAGGACCAGCCCCGCGCGAGGACCGGCGGGGCGGGCACGTGCGGGGAGGCGGCGGCAAGGCCAGTTTTCCTTCCTTTTGTTTTGAACTCTTCCCCCGCTTTTTCCCGATGATGAAAGACGCGCGCGTTCACGTCCAGATGCGGGAAGTGGAGAAGAGCCAACACCGAAGAAGGACGTGCTGGGCGCGGCTGTGGCGGGCGGGAAGGAAGGTGGAGCGCGGTCCTCGTCTGCCTGCACCCCTGTCGTGAAGCCACTCCGGGTCCGCTGTGGGCTCCTGGGGACTCTGGTTGCGCGCGGGTCAGGGGCTGGGTCTGAGCAGTCCCTCCCCGCTCAGGTCTGGTTCAAGAACCGCCGGGCCAAGTGGCGGCACCAGAAGCGCGCGGCGTCCGCGTCCGCCAGGCTCCTGCCTGGAGCCAAGAAGCCCCCAAGGCGAGCTGCTGAAGGCGGGGGGACCGCGCCTGGGCTCGGCTGTGACCGTCGGAGCCTGCGCTGAGAGAAGACAGGCCCGCCGCAGAAGGAGCTGGGAGGGGACACCAGCTTCCCCGCCGATGTCCACAGCTCAGCTCCTTGCCCCTGCAGCTGGTGCTGCCGCGGGGGCTGTGTGTGTCCCTGTGCCAGCCCTTCCCGTGACGGGAAGAGACGCAGAGCACCTGAGGCCTCCTCCTCCGGGCAATGGGACAGGCGCCTGGCGGAGACCCCTTGGGGCAGGCTGGTTAGGGTGGAGCAGGTCAGATTCCTCAACGCCCACCCCCACGGGAGAGGGACTGCCGTGTTTCCCCCGAAAACAAGACAGGGTCTTATATTTACTTTTCCTCAAGGAGACACCCTAGGGCTTATTTTCAGGGCATGTGTTATTTTCCCTTCAAAGCCTCAATTGCAGCACACACAGGACGCCGGGACCCGACAGGGGGAGCCGGCCTTGTTGGTGGGGCTGCCCGCACCTTTCCTGTCACCTCTGGGATAGTAGCTGTCACGACTGGGCAGGTGAGAAGGGCTGCTCGTCTTCTTTTCCGCTCAGCGACGACACGCACGGGTTGTGCAGACGCGCTGCGTGGCCACGCCCACCGCGAGGTTATATTTTCAGGGTAGGGCTTCTATTGTGCAAATGCTCAGAAATCCTGCTAGGGCTTGTTTTACGGATAGGTCTTATTTTTGGGAAAACACCCCTGTCCACCTGGGGACCCAGAATCCTACTCCCTCCCTACCTCAGGGAAGGCTGGGCCGCCTCCTCCCCTCAAGATGGACATGGGACCCAGGTGACCTGGTCTGCTGCCCTCCCAGGGTGGTGTCTGCAGTCCTGGAGTTGCTGCTACCTCCAAGGTCCTGTGCTGGGCCTTGGCCTTTGGGCCTGTAGAATAAAGTCAGACGAGGTCATGTCCAGGAGCCCCAGCCCTGTGGTCTTTGAGCCTTGTGCTGATATCGAGAAATAAACAAGCAACTACAGGTACCACAAAAGGCGTCCAGAGTTCCCAGTCCATGTGGCTCCCATCCCACACCAGGCAGGGAGCTACCACTCACCCCTGCTGGCAGGGAGGGCAGCAAGTCTGTGAGAGGCACAGCCCAGTGAGTCGCCAAACCCTGTACAGAGAGGATTACCCCACACATTGTGGCCTGGGACCCTGGGGGGCCTGCCCTGGCCTGCAGATGCTGCCAACCTGCCTCATGGGTGAGGGTCCTTGCTTGCCCCTCGGGGATTTCCATGCTATGGGGTCTGCCTCCTCCCAGCAGTGAGTCTCTGCCATCCTGGGGTGGGGCCAGAGGAAGTTGGATTGGGGAGCCCCACCCCCACTGCCTTGGAAAATGCCTGCCCTCTTCTCTATCACTTTGGTCCCAGGGTGAAGGACAACTTGATAAACCAGGCTTCAAGTCCCCACGTGGGCCCTTACAGTGGCTCCAAGGCACCTCACACCCCCTCAGCTGGCTTAAGCACCTTGCTCTGTATCTTTACAGGTCCTGGGCTGGGGGGTCCCCAAAGAGACACAATCCATCTGTAAAAGCAGGACTGCAGAATCCCAGGCTTCAGGTCCTGGCACTCTCTGACGCTGGATGGCTTGGGTGACACCCAGCAGGCCTGATGTCCACCAGCCAGAGCTGCCCTAACACTGCCGGGTGCCTCCACTCCCCGGGATGCATATTCTGGCTGTCACAAAGCTCTCCCTGCATCCTGGCCTTGCCATTGGAGACTGAACTGTATTTGTTTGTTTGTTTGTTTTCTGAGACAGTCTCACTTTGTTGCCCAGGCTAGAGTGAGTGCTGTGGCGTCAGTCTAGCTCACAGCAACCTCAAACTCCTGGGCTCAAGCGATCCTGCTGCCTCAGCCTCCCGAGTAGCTGGGACTACAGGCATGCGCCACCATGCCCGCCTAATTTTTTCTATATGTATTAGTTGGCCAATTAATTTCTTTCTATTTATAGTAGAGACGGGGTCTCGCTGTTGTTCAGGCTGGTTTTGAACTCCTGACCTGGAGCAATCCGCCCACCTCGGCCTCCCAGAGTGCTGGGATTACAGGCGTGAGCCACTGCGCCCGGCCTGAACTGTCTATTGTGGAAATGACAGTGTCCTGCTCAGCTCCCCTGTGGGCTGGGACAGCCCACTGCACTGGGCTCCAGGCCCCTCGCCCTCCTTGGCTGAATGACCACCTGCTATCGTGTGGGTCAGCCACTGCCAGAGCTCACCTGAGCTCCACCCTCGTGGGCCCAGCAGCAGTGCTGCTCTCCTGAATTTCCTCTTGGAGCTCCAGCTGACACGGTGGCTGGCCATGACACAGGTGTGCTTGGGCTCAGTCACTCCCCTCTCATCTCCATCTTCCCCCTGGTTTCTTTTCCACTTTCAGGCCCCCATTACAAAATCTCTGCCATGTTGACACCCCCAGTGCAGCCCTCTCCCCTGAGCTAGCTATTTATCTCCACTGTTCCCTTGACTACTATACCTGGAAGACCACAGACCCCTCAAGGTCATCTTGTTTGCAGAGAGCTCTTCCCCTGTGCCAGCCAGGCACGTGAGCCAGGGAGCTAGCGAGCACCTGACCCCTCTGCACCCCTCGCCCACTATGCCCAGGCCAACTGCAAGCCAACTTTACCTCCAAATCAACGCGTCGATAAATCCCAGAATCTCTTCTCCCCAGCTCCAACTGCACCAACCTGGTGTAAACCGTCTCTTCGCACCTTGACCAGTACAGCTGTTTCCAGTCCAGCCTCACCCACCTGCACCCACTCTGACTCCTCTTTCATTCAGAATAAAGACAGAATAAAGACAAAACTTGCCATGACCCACCTGTGTAGCCTGGCTCCTGCTCATCTCACCTCTCACCCATGTATGTATTCAGAGGTCTTTGGAACTTGCCTTGATCCCTCCTGAAACTGGGCCTTTGCACATACTCTTCCCTCAGGCAGGGCCTGTTTGTTCGTCTTTTGGGTCTGCCTGGGAAACATCCCCTGACTCCCCCACTAAGTTCAAACTCTTTTCTCGTGTGGACACAGCTACAACTTTACACCTGTGTCGGGGATCATGGTCTAATATGTGTCTTTGCCTTCCTCATTGGACTGTCCGCTCTACAAGGGCAAAAACAACACTGTGGAGTCCCCAGGGAATGAAGGGATGATTGCATATTGTAAAAGCAAAATCTTACTAAGTTGTTCTGGGGCAGAACTTATTTGTTTGACATAATTCATAACCTCCTTTTGGGAAGAAATTTCTGAAAAATGCCTAAGCAATTTTCTGGTCCACTTCGGTGAGAATCAACCCTCTTCTAGGAAGCCCACTCTGGCATTCAGGGGCCTAATAATCTTTAAGCAGACCTTTCTTTATCGAATCGCCGTATTGTTCTTTCTTTTCTTTCTTCTTTTTAAATCTTTTGTTAGATAACTACCAAGAAAGAATTGTCTTAGGGTTCTTCCATAAAGTTTCAAACTCACATATAATCAAATTTTCGGGAATTTTTAACAAATATTATAATATCGACGCATACCCAGAGATTACTTACTTGACAGAAATTGGAATTCCAAGGCGTTTGGATTCCATAGTGCTGGAATTTCTCACATTAGCGCCATCCTCACGCTCCACCACAGCGCCCCCTCGTGTCCACAACCTAGACACGCATGAATAGCGCCGAGCGGGACGAGGACTACAACTCCCACAAGGACTAGCGCTGTTAGTGTCGTCAGTACAGGGTGCGCGCTTGCGTTAAAATATGCAGCTTTCTCATTGGCCAATTGTTGGAGGCGCCTGCGCAAATGGCACAGTCCCGCCCGCCGCTGCCCGAGCGGTCCTGGGATAGCGATGGAGACGCCGGGCGCATCCGACCCGTCACGGTTGCTCCCGGCCGGGTCCGGTCCCCGTAGGAAGCGCGCGACTGGGGAGGCCGGGGCTGCAACGAGCAAGCAACGGGTCCTAGATGAGGAAGAGTATATCGAGGTACGACCTCGGTGTGGACACTGGCGAGGTGCTGGTCCCTCCCCCGCCTCGCGCTGCTCTCGGGTCCCTTCTCTCGAGACGTGGCGCTGGCTTCTCGTTGTGGAAGTGGAACAGCCCGAGTCCCTGCCCTTGGGGTGTGGACGGCCCCATAGCCAAGTGAACAGCGCGAGGGAGGTGTCCCGGTTCGGGGAGGTCCTAGCAGTGCGGTAGGGGAACGGGGAGCGGCTCAGTTTGTATGCGATGGTGGTCAGGGAAATAAGGTTTTCTATTGAAGCGTGAGTAGGAGTTTGAGACTGGAAGGATGGTGGCGAACAGGGCTTTCTAGAGAGCGGTAATGGGTCCTGGCAAGAGAGCGATTGTGGCGGCATCTTGAGTGAGTGGTCCTCCATCGCCCCTGGAAGTAGGTGTTGGTCCTACCGCAAGTATGCGGGAGCTGGCATGAGGGTTGGAGAAAGTCGGTTTGGTTTTCCATTGGTTAAATTTGGGACGCCTTTGGGATATACAAACGGTGGGTTTAGTAGACAGCTGGGTGCACAGATTTGCAGCTCAGGAGCAAGGTCTGGATGAAGGTACATACTGGGGAATCTCAACTGGTAGTGGTGGTGACTGGGCTGAAGTCACTCAGGAAGTGGATTTAGATTGGAAGTAGAAGGTCACAGGTGGAATGAAGGTGGCAACACTCATTGGTTTGGCTGGTGTTAAAATGGAGCCAGTAAAGGAGAGCAAGAAAGACCGGTTAGCAAGGGGAAAGAGAAGGGTTTCATGGACACCACAGGGGGATTTATTGTTGTTAGAGGTAGCAGCACGGCCATCACATGGAGTGTTGAACCTCACTAGAAAGTGCCCCCAAGTTCCCTCAAGCAAGCTCCAATTACTGTGGAAGGCAGAAACTGAAGGCACTTCAGTGAGGGCCGTAGTATATACAGCGGTAGACTGTGCTGTGAGGCAGGGGTGCCCAGGTGGCAGCTCTGACTTTTGTTCTGATCTCTCCTGGCAGGGTCTCCAGACAGTTATCCAGAGGGATTTTTTTCCTGATGTGGAGAAGCTGCAGGCCCAGAAGGAGTACCTGGAGGCTGAGGAGAATGGAGACTTGGAACGGATGCGCCAGATTGCCATCAAGTTTGGTTCTGCTCTGGGCAAGATGTCCCGAGAGCCCCTGCCACCCTGTAAGAGCATCCTGTGCATGGCAGAGAGGGGAAAGCCTGCTGAAGTGTTGCCTCAGGCTCGCTCTAAAATGTACCCCCTTTTTATCCCCCAGATGTGACTCCAGCCACATTTGAAACCCCTGAGGTGCACACAGGCACTGGAGTAGTGGGCAGCAAGCCCAGGCCCCGAGGCCGAGGCTTGGAGGATGGTGAGTGAGAGCTCCCTCTTGGTTGCACAGTTGGGATTGCCTGGCAATCGTATCCTGTGAGTCCCTGAGGGGATGGTCTGGAGGTCTGCAGGTCACATCTTGTCCCTGAGGGGTCTCTTTGCCTAAACAGCAACCTGTGAAGTCAGAGAGCACTGATCTAGGAGGCAGATGATTGGGGTCCAGCACCCAAATGTGGTTGGCCTCTGTGGACTGGGAATCTCACCACCTCTCTCACTGGCCTGCTCGCTGTGTGCCAGCCCCTGCCCTGTGGCCTTCATGGGCCTTGAAAGGCTTCTTTCTTCACTGTCTCCTGAAAATGCCTCAGGGCCTCTACCTTTGTTTCTTCCATGATGGTCACTTTTGCCAGATAATGGCACGGCTAGTTACTTCTCTTTCTTCAGGTCTCTGCTCAGATGTTGCTTGTTCAGGGATATCTTCTCTGATCTCCCAGTGCAAAGTCACAGCACCCCTGTGCCCTATGGCTTCCAAACTGGCTTTATTTTCTTAATGCAGGATGTGACATTTCATAAAGAGCATTCGTATTTGTGTATCTTCTCTCTCCCTAATTAGCATCCCTTCCGCGAGGACAGAGACTTTGTCTTGCCTCCGTCTGTATGCTCTGCACCTAGAACAGCGTGTAGGTGTTGTGGGCCTTTGACAAATACACGTAGAACAGATGAACTTGTTGTCTTTTTCGATATGTTTACTGAGGTGTACGACACTCAGGTGTACGTGATAACACTCTGACTTTATGAGGTGGCCTTTTTAGGAAAGGGCATCTGAGTCCTGTTGAATATAAACGTGCTGTGGTCAGTCGATTTGTCAGCACATGAGATGGATAAGATGTTATTTTTTACTGGATTCTAGTCTAGCACAGATGTGCTGTGTGTTCACACAATGTGATATTTCCTGCTTGGCAATCTAGTTCTTTCTTCCGTTAACACAGTCCTTGTTGTTGTCCTTGGACCTTGATTCTTTATTTATTATATTTTTTCCTTTTTTTAAAATACAAACACCAGTGAGATGGACCTTGATTCTTTATTGAAATGTGGCTTAGGCCGGGCGAGGTGGCTCACGCCTGTAATCCTAGCTCTCTGGGCGGATAGTTTGAGTTCAGGAGTTCAAAACCAACCTGAGCAAGAGCAAGACCCCGTCTCTGCTATAAATAGAAATAAATTAATTGGCCAACTAATACATATAGAAAAAATTAGGCGGGCATGGTGGCGCATGCCTGTAGTCCCAGCTACTGGGGAGGCTGAGGCAGGAGGATCGCTTGAGCCCAGGAATTTGAGGTTGCTGTGAGCTAGGCTGATGCCACGGCACTCACTCTAGCCTGGGCAACAAAGTGAGACTCTGTCTCAGAAAAAAAATGTGGCTTATGAGTCACGGCAATTTACAGGTTCTTTTTTATACCTTCACATCTTACATGTCAGTAAATATAGGAATCGTTTTCATGATCCAAGTGGTGGGTACCACTATCCTAATCTTTCTGACGCCAGGTATTGAACTTGTAGCCACTGTGCTTTGTGCACAGTCTGGAATGTAGCAGGTGGTCGGTCAAGACTGTCCCTAGAATGGAAGAAAAAGCCATCCTCCAGATGTCCTCACTGGGGTTTGCATCACCACACACAGCACCAGGGTGCCACTTTCCATGGTGGCGGGGTGGCAGGGGGTAGTTGGGGTTGTGAGGCCCCCATCCGGAGCACTGGGTCATATGGCATCCGTGTCACTGGGGCTAGCTGGCAGGCCCAGACACTTAGGTGACAACCACCCCCCTGTGGTACAAGTACTGTGAGGGAAGAGTGGTTAGGGTAAGGAAATCCCAGAGAGGGATGGAGAGCCGTGGGGAGTTTGGAGGTAGATCCTACAGGGTTGGGGAGAAGCCTACATATGGTCACGAACTCTTGCTCTAATGCCTGGATTGCCCCCCCATCTGAATCAGATTACATATTTCCCTTTGGTGTCCAGCAGGTGAGTGGAGCTGGCCAGTTGACTGCAGGGTACAAGCTGAGGGCTCCCTGGGCAGTCAGTGTGGGCTGATCCCACCCCTACAAGGAGTCCTTTGGTAGTGTGGGCTCTCATGGACAGGAGCCAGGCCCAGGGGTCGGGATTCCAGTCATGCTTGGAGGATGGTATGATTCCTGGGGCTGGGCGTGCTGGTCTCCCCTGACTGCAAGTGGTGTTCGTGGTTTGTGTTTCCCCCACATGCAAACCCCTGAGCAGGAGAGGCTGGCGAGGAGGAGAAGAAGGAGCTGCTGCCGAACCTGGACATCTTCCTGAGCCGCTACACAAGTGAGGACAATGCCTCCTTCCAGGAGATCATGGAAGTAGCCAAGGAGAAGAGCCGGGCACGCCACGCCTGGCTCTACCAGGCTGAGGAGGAGTTTGAGAAGGTATCCCTGGGGCATCGGGGCATGGGCACTCTTAGTTGGGGTGGGGGTAGCCACAGGCACAGTGCCTGGGGGCATCATCTCTGACCATCGATTTTCCCCATGCAATGGCAGAGGCAGAAAGATAACCTCGAGCTTCCGTCGGCAGAGCATCAAGCTATCGAGAGCAGCCAGGCCGGTGTGGAGACCTGGAAGTACAAGGCCAAGAACTCCCTCATGTACTACCCCGAGGGTGAGCAGGCAGGGCCCAGGCAGCTCGGTGGGGAGGCGCAGGATGGAGCCATGTATGTCTGGCTCTGAGTTTGGGTCAGCCTTCAGGACATACGTACATACCCACTTGCAGTCTGGGCCTCAGAGAGGTCCTAGTCTGGTCAGGGTCAACAGGGGAGTGAGGCTCTCTCCAGCTGCTGCAGTCGCGGTCTGAGCTCAGCTCAATGCTTCTGTGCAGCGGGAGTGACTTGGCTGGGAGAGCGAGCCTGCTCCTGCCCCTCAGGCCACTGGGCTCTGGGCTGAGGTGGGGCCTGCCCACCCCCCTGATACCTGCTATATCATCTCTGCTTTGTTTGCCAGGTGTCCCTGAGGAACAGCAGCTGTTTAAGAAGCCCCGGCAGGTGGTGCATAAGAACACACGCTTCCTTCGGGACCCCTTCAGCCAGGCTCTGAGCAGGTGCCAGCTCCAGCAAGCGGCTGCCCTCAATGCCCAGGTGTGCAGCGGGCCGGCAGGGCCACATGGGGCTAGGTGTGGCAGGGCTGGCTAGGACAGGCACAGCCTCTTTGATTTCCTTGGGCTTGGTGGAGCTCAGTGGGTGGAAGTATTTGGGGCCCTGCATGGCAGGGTCTTCTCTTGGCCCACGTGGGCTTCCACTGGGCACTGTCTTGGCCAGACATGGTCTGTGGGTCCAGATCTGTGCCAGCTCCCTTGTGGCAGGGGTCAACCAAGTCCAGCCATGCCCATGCCCACATAGCAAGCAGGGCTGTGGGGTAGATGGTGGGCAGGCAGGGAAGCCAGTAAGCCCCCGAGGGTGAGCTGGGGTGAGAGTGTTTGGGGTGGCAGAAGTTTTCCGAGCCTCGAAGCAAGATGAATGGGTGTTCTCTGATGGTGACTGTGTGGTTGTGGGATCGAAGGGTGGGAGGCAGGAAGAGACTAGAGCACAGGTCCTTTTGTCAGTGTTGCCCCCACAGGGGCCTGAAGTCAGTACCCTCTGGAAGTAGCCGGGGTGGGGTGCTGAGCTGATGGCCCGGCACTACCCTGGATAGGAGGAGAGGGCCGTCCCTTGCTTGGTGCCCATTCTGAAAGCCTTAGGGTCTTTTGGGGGGTGGGAGTGAGGGGGTCCTCCCTGTTTCCCCAAGGCAGCTGCCAGCCCCAGAGCCCTGGTTTTGCCCTGAGGAGGGGAAGTGTTTCCAGCATGTTCCTGTGCATCTGTCCATTGGCCAGCTGGGGAGAGAGCACTCCGGCCCCCTGACACTTGTCTCTCTGCTTGTTCCAGCACAAACAGGGCAAGGTGGGCCCCGACGGGAAGGAGCTGATCCCTCAGGAGTCTCCCCGCGTGGGCGGATTCGGATTTGTTGCCACCCCTTCTCCTGCCCCTGGTGAGAAACGCACTCCTGGCCAGCGGGCCCACTGCTGGGACTGCCTGGGGGGAGGTTGGCTATCAGCTGGCCACTCCTGGCTGTCTGCCTGGTCTTCCCCATGCCTTATGTGACTCAGGGACCTAGTGTCCTGTCTGTGCAAGGACAGAGCTGGACTCTGGGCTCCTGAGAGACAGATGCCCAGGCTGGCTAGGGCTGCCGGGGGTGCTGGACTCTCTCAGGCAGACCCAACTTGAGACGTCCTGGCTCACGTGTTCTCTTCTGGTGCTTGCCGCTGTGTCAGCAGGTGGGGTGCTGTGTTCACAGTGCTTACAGACCCAAGTCCAGAGAGCTCTGTGGGGTGGGGAGGCTGTGGGCCTGAGTCTCCTCTAACAGGCTAGCGAGACTTGGATGGTTCTGTGGTGCGTGTGGGTGTCCTCTGTCCCCCTTAACACTGGTGTCTGTGCTCCCGGGTACTTGTTGCTGTGACATAGGCCAGGGCATGTGAAGGTGCCGTGTTTGCCTGGAGTTCTAGGAGGTTTGGAGCCTCTAGGAGGCTACTCAGGCTGAGCACATGGCTGCAGGGGTCTGGACCTGCCTTGGGCGCACTGTGACCTTGGCATTTCCCTCAGAGGAAGGAGGTGCCAGGGTTCCAGCATCCTGGGGAAGGAGAGTGGGCCAGCTGCTGGCCTCGATGTTGGCTGGGACCCACATGGGTGAACTGGCTGCGGCTGGGGGCCGGGCCTGGCCCTGGTGCTCTGGCCTGAGGTGGCTGTGGGCTCTCCTATGCAGGTGTGAACGAGTCCCCGCTAATGACCTGGGGGGAGGTTGAGAACACACCCTTGCGAGTTGAAGGATCAGAAACCCCCTATGTGGACAGGACACCGGGCCCAGCCTTCAAGGTCAGTTGTGGTGAGGAGGGGGCAGGGTGGGACTCAGGGTGGCTGCCTGGTGGACCCTGAGTGCCTGTGGCTTGGGACTGAGTGCCACAGATGGGACCCCAGCTGATGGGGCAGAGCGCTGGCACTTCTGAATGCTGGGGTGCTGACGGCAGACGTGGCTGGATGGGTGCTGTGGACGGGTTTGGTGGGGTGGGGGCTGAGGCACCAAGGCGGGCAGTGGCCTGGCCCCCCTAGATCTTGAAGGCTGGGGGCTGTTCATAGATGGGGTGAGATGTCACAGAGAGGCCAGGAGCCCTGACTCTGGGATGTGGCTGTTTGCTGCCAGAGAAAGGCCTCTCTGCTTACAGAATGCAATTAGGGCCACACCAGAGTGTGTGGCTTAAGTTCAGTGTTGTAGGAGTGATCCGAGTGGGGTATTCAAGGCCTGGAGCAAGCGAGGGGGACTCTTCATGGGCCAGGTCAGATGTGACCAGGCAGGAATGTGTTGAGGTGGCCCCTAAGTCCAGGCAGCGAAGGGAAGCTGGGTGGCAGATAGCATAAAGAAATTGGGTGGCCCAGGGTGGTGTGGCCCTGGAGAGGTGTTGAGATGACAAGGTGCTCTGTCTGCAGGGATTTTTTTAGGGAAACTGAGTGACTGGTGTAGTTTGGAAAGGAGGGAAGTCTGCAGAACTTGGGAGCATGCATGTCCCAGTGTCGGGGAGCTGGGCCCTTGCCTGTGCTGACTCTGGAATGTCAAGAGGTCCAAAAGGCAAAGGTTTGTGTTTGCAGAAACCAAGGGTGTGGGGTCGCATCATCTGCTTTGAGAAAGAATGCCAGGAGAGTAGTGTGTGTGGTCTGATCAGGAGGCCAGGGCAGGTGGCCAGACAGGAGCTCATCATCTCCAGCCAGTTTCTTTAAACACTGGCAGTGATCAATGTTTGAATTGCAGTGGAAAAAGAGAGTTCACTCATGGAGCAATAGAAATTTAGAACAACTAAGGCCGGGTGTGGTGGCTCACGTCTATAATCCTAGCACTCTGGGAGGCCAAGGCGGGCGGATAGCTCAAGGTAGGAGTTCGAAACCAGCCTGAGCAAGAGCGAGACCCCGTCTCTACCATAAATAGAAAGAAATTAATTGGCCAACTAATATATATATAGAAAAAATTAGCCGGGCATGGTGGCGCATGCCTGAAGTCCCAGCTACTTGGGAGGCTGAGGCAGCAGGATTGCTTGAGCCCAGGAGATTGAGGTTGCTGTAAGCTAGGCTGACGCCACGGCACTCACTCCAGCCTGGGCAACAAAGCAAGACTCTGTCTCAAAAAAAGAAAAAGAAAAAATTTAGAACGACTAGAAATAACTCAGCTTTTATAAAGAAAACCGCAAACTTTATCACACATTTGAGGAGGGCACTGTCCCGTCTCTGCACTCTAAATTCTGACCTGGCCTACAGTTTATTTGAGGACTTTTCCCCCTTTTTTTGTTGGCCTGGGTTCCAGGACCAGGGCACAGCCAAAACATCAGGGCCTTTGCTGCCCTCAGATTTGACAGCAGAGCCGCCTCTTTGTTCTCTCTGCCAGGTTTGTCTTGGTTTTCCTTGCATCCCAGGCAGGTTTCAGAACCAACATGCCCAAACTTCTGCCCACATTCTGTCTAGGTGTGTGTTACTGCTACAGACTGCGCTAGGGAAGTGGCGCCACACTGGGAGGCCTTTAGGGTCTGAGAATTTAGGGTCCGAGAAAGATGGCTACTCAAATTGTGCTGAGAAGCAGAGTATTTGTAAATAAAGTAAGCTTGGTCCTTGATGTGTGTAGTGGAGTATATTCCAGAAAGGCGGAAGGTTAAAGGTAAAAAGAATAACCATAAAATAACTAGAAGAAAATAATCGCAAATATTTAGTCTGGTTTTTTTTGTTTGTTTGTTTTTGAGACAAAGTCTCACTCTGTTGCCCGGACTAGAGTGCCGTGGCGTCAGCCTAGCTCATAGCAACTTTAAACTCCTGGGCTCAAGCAATCCTCCTGCCTCAGCCTCCCGAGTAGCTGGGACTACAGCCATGTGCCACCCTTTTTTATATAGGTATTTTTAGTTGTTCAGCTAATGGTTTCTATTTTTTTTAGTAGAGACAGGGTCTCACTCTTACTCAGGCTGGTCTTGAACTACTGGGCTCAAGTGATCCTCGGCCTCCCAGAGTGCTAGGACTGTAGATACCAGCCACTGTGCCCAACCTAGTCTGATTTTAAGTAAGGAAGAAATCACAAAGTTATAGCTGCACAAAAATGACAAACTTAAATACAGCAGAAAGTGTCATAAAAGTAAATAAACCAAGTCAGGCACGGTGGCTCTTGCCTGTAATCCTAGCGCTTTGGGAGGCTGAGGTGGGAGGATTGCTTGAGGTAAGAAAATAGCTTCTAGTTTGGCAGGAAGTTAAGAAAAAAAATAAGTAAAGCAGATAACTGAAAAGAAATGTGTATGGCATAGCTTAATTTACTTGACACAGGTGAAGCCCCTGTGAGTAACAACAACCAAAAAAACCCCCCTGATGAGCTCATTGAGAGAAAAATAGGCCACAGATATGTGTGGGAAGTTCTTGAAAGAAATACAGAAGGTGCAAAAAGACAGGTGTTCACTCTAGCAGTCGGAGAAACGACAAGATGCTCTTCTTCCCTGAGAGACGTCAGTGTCCTGACTGGCAGGCCTGCCTCTGGGAGGGGCGCGAGGACAGGCAGTGAGTGCCAGGCCTGGGAGGATGGGCGGGCTGGCAGGGCGAGGGACTTCCCAGGGCTTAGGAGGAGGTGACAGTGGATTGTGGAGGCCACAAGGAGAGGCTGGTGCCCACAGCAGTGGCCCTCTGTGTAAAGGACTGCCTGGCTTGTGGCAGGGCTGCCAGGGGCCACCCACACACCTGCTGCCTTGTAGATCTTGGAGCCGGGCCGCAGGGAGCGGCTGGGGCTGAAGATGGCCAATGAGGCTGCTGCGAAGAACCGGGCCAAGAAGCAGGAGGCCTTGCGGAGAGTGACGGAGAACCTGGCCAGGTGAGGGTTGGCCTGGCCCTGGGCTGAGGGGCGAGTGTCTCTGCTCCACTCCTGCTCGGCACCATCCCTGGCATTGCAGACACGTGGCCTGCAGGGCAGAGTCTGGCGCAGGTCTGCTGCTTCTCTGATCCATAGCATGGCCTGACATGAACCAGGGACACTGGGTCCTCCTCCAGCTTCTCTTTCCTCCACCTTCTCCTGGGCCCATCTCTAAGAGGCACCTTTAGGCCTGCTTAGGTCTGTGGTCCCACTATGAGCTCCTGTCAGCCCTGTGGAGAGAGTCATTATTCCCCTTGGAGAGGAGTGGGGACTCCAACTCTTAGAGTTCTGGGGTCCACCCCAGCCTCCACGGCCAAGGGCAGCACCTCGAGCTTGGCCTCACTGCCATCCAGTGCTGTCATCCTCAGCTCAGAGTGACACGTCTGCCCAAGCTCTTCCCAGGGCCAAGGGAGGGTCTGCTGCTCTTAGCACTCAGCCACCTAACTCTGCCTCTCGCCCATCCCTCCACCCCAGCCTCACCCCCAAAGGCCTCAGCCCTGCCATGTCTCCAGCCCTGCAGCGCCTCGTGAGCAGGACGGCCAGCAAGTACACAGATCGGGCCCTGAGGGCCAGCTACACGCCGTCCCCCACACGACTGACCCATCTCAAGACCCCGGCCAGTGGGCTGCAGACCCCCACCAGCACACCCATCCCAGCCTCTGCCGCACGCACCCCCCTCACGCTGGACCCAGCCTCCATCACAGACAACCTGCTGCAGCTGCCCGCCCGGCGCAAAGCCTCGGACTTCTTCTAGAGCCAGGCCTGGGCTGGGCCCGTGGACACTTTGTGGAGCCTGCAGGGCAGCTGTCCACCCAGCGGAGGACTGTAGCCTTCTGAGGACCCAGGCTCGCGCCAAAAGTGGTTGCCCCTTGCAGGAACCACAGGAGAAAGGTGCCACTCTACAGCCAGGATGGCACAGGGCGGGTGCCCACCCTGTACCCTGGGTCCTTGCCAAAACTGTTTTCTATTTAACCCCCCATCCCCGAACCGTCATTAAAGGGCACTGGCACCGTCTGGCAGGGCAGCTTTCTGCCCACTTCCCCACGTAGGCTGTGGGGTCGCCCTGAGGCCTGCGTCTGTCTCAGGGCTTCGGGCCTTCAGTGAGGGTGCTCCAGGGGAGAAAGCTTCGGGTGGGGCGGCCTTGGGAGGGCTGGGGGCCTCCGGCAGTATTTCTGGGCACCTGGAACCTGCCTTCTGAGCCAGCTCACATGGGCACCTGGTGCTGTCTGTGCCTCTGAGGGAGGGTGGGGCACCTGGGAATTGAGCCCTTGGGTCCTCAGCCTCCCAGCCGGGCCTGCCCTGCACAGCTGGCCGGTTATAGGGCTGCGTGGGGACTGGCTTGGCACTGGGCATCTTCCTGCCCTTCTGTTCACCTGCTGCGGCAGGCACAGCCTCGTGGTCATCCCAGCAGCAGGAGCCCACAGGGAACCACTGCCCGGGCCACAGCGTACAGAAACAGGCAGGCCCCGCTGAGACCCGCTCAGCACGGGCGGGGGTGTGGGCGCCTCACCCTCAGGAGGCTGGAGGGGCCAGGCCTGAATCCGCTTCCCACAGAGGTGGAGGGGCCCATCGAGCCACCACCATGGTCTGCTCCCAGGCTGGTTGCTTCAGGTCTCAAGTAGAGGTCACAGATTGTGCCCTGTGGGTGACGGGGGGCTCACGATGCTTGGGAGCACATGTGGCCCTTGCTCACACCAGAGTCCTTCCTGCGTTGAGTGCACCAGCCCTGTGCTAGGTGATCCTCTTGCCCCTCCCTAAGTGCTTGGGATGCCCGTCAGGGGACTGACAGTACCTGGGGCCCTGCTAACCTGTGCCCCTCCACTGCGAGTTCCCGCAAGCCCAGACATGCCCTGGGGGCTCAGGTGAGGTTGGGCCCCAGGCTGGGACTGTCAGGGCTCTTGGTGCTTGTCCCCACAGGAAAGGGTGGGCTTTCCTACGAAGCGAGCCCCCAGGAAGTGGGGAGGGGAAGGTGCGCTGGCCAGGGCTGGCTGCCTGGAGCGCTTGGCGGCTGTGTGTGGGGAGCCAGGTGCGACCAAACAGGAAGCAGGAGAGACTGGCCAGGGCTGCTGAACGGCTTGCAGGGCCGCAGGGCTGGTTAGGGGTGGCAGGTGAACGGTCTCAGCTGGGGTTGCCCCTGGGGGATAGGGCATGAGGGGTAGGGGGCAGACGGCCCCGCCCATAGGAGAGGAGGCCACTGAGCAGCACCGACTGGGAGGGGATGAGGGTAGAGAGGGCTGCGCTGCGTGGGCCAGGGCGTGGAGCTGGCCGGCCCTGGTGCCAATGGGGCCTGGCGGTGGACATGGCAGAGGTCCTCTCCTGCCTTCGAGGCCTCACTGTGAGTCTGTCTGTGCCTGAGCGCCGCTCCCTGGACCCCTATGCTGGAGACACCCGCGCAACAGGGAGGGCAGTAGGCTGAGTCCCAGAGAAAAAGAGTCCTCACCGGGCACTCTGGATGCTTGTATACACTTTGTGGTTTATTTGGTGGTCAGTAAGTAATGTCTTTGCTACTAAGTGGAAGAAAGCTAATAGAACGTAATCAAAATAGTGGTTTAATTGACGAATTTTACTTGTTCCTTGCCCCTGTGCCTTCTTCAGCTCCTACCTGCCTACTTAGTTTACGGGGGTGCAAACCTCACGCCACTGCCCCCGGCCCTCATTACTGCTGGTTGCTCGCTTTCCCCACCTCGGCTCCGGAGACGTGATGGTCTTTGGCTCTGGAGGTCTCGGCCAGCCTGTCCTCCATCCTGTCCTCATTCTCCGGCACCACCAGCAGCCGGTGCTGGGTTTTGGCCCCCAGCTTGTGCTCAGGCCGGTGGTCAGGCTTCGAGCCCGGCCGGGTGTCCAGCTTGTACTCAGCCCGGTACTTGCCCTCCCCCTCCCTCTTGAAGGAGGCAGAAGACATGGCTTTGGGCTTGGGGGGCTGCAGCCATGAGTGGCTGAGGATCTCGTCGATGTGCAGCCGCCGGTTGACATCGGGCTGGAGCATGCGGTAGATGAGGTCCTTGCACTCGCCCGTCAGGTTCTTGGAGCGTGGGAAGTCCACGCGGTGCTCCTTCTGGATGCGCAGCATCTTCTTGATGTCGGAGTCGTCGTAGGGCATGGAGCCACAGACCATTATGTAGAGGATCACGCCCAGGCTCCAGATGTCATACACCTTGGGCTGGTAGGGGATGCCCTGCAGCACCTCGGGGGCCGCGTACGCCGCCGACCCGCAGAAGGTCTTGCTGAGGATGATGCGGCCGCTGCCGTCCCGCAGGCAGCGCTTGGAGAAGCCGAAGTCGGACAGCTTGATGTTGAAGTCCTTGTCGAGGAGAAGGTTCTCGCACTTGAGGTCGCGGTGGACAACGTCCATGTCGTGGCAGTACTTGACGGCCGAGGAGAGTTGGCGGAACATCTTGCGCGCCACGTCCTCGTGCAGGGCTCCCCGGCACTTGATGAATTCAAGGAGGTCGCCCTGGACGCCAAGCTCCATGACGATGTAGATCCGCCCATCAGACGTCTCGAAGATCTCGTAGGTCTTGATGATTGAGCGGTGGTTGACGGTTGCCAGGATGTCCATCTCCCGCGGAAGGAATCTCTCTACGAAGTCCGTGGGCGTTTTCTTGCGGTCGATGATCTTGACTGCCACGTTGAACTTGAGGCGCTCAGAGTAGGCGGATTTGACTTTTGCGTAGGAGCCTTTGCCAAGATTGATGCCCACGATGTAACCCTTCTTCCTTAGGACCGTGGCATCGTCCATGGTGCCAGGAGCGGCCAGCGCCGCTGCCCTCTACATCCCCCGCCAGCGCGGGCCGGCAGGCATCGTCCTCATTCACACTGCGGACAGGCGTGTGCTGGGCTGGGCCTGGACTTGCAAGGGTGGAACGCTCGGCATTGTCTCTGGGTGACTTCAGCGAATGAAGTCATAAAGCCAGGCTGTTGGGAGTGGGGACTGGGCTGGGGGGAACAGGGCCCCTGGAACCCTGGAAGCCAGGCTGGCCTGGCAGGAGTGCCCATCCCTGCCCACTGGAAGGAAACTGGCATCGGGGACTGTGGTAACTCTCTCTGCTCTTCTTGCTGACTGTGGCTTCCCTGTCACATGTCAGGCCCAAGGGGAGGTGGCCGACATCTGACCAGAGTGCCAGCCCCAAGCCTGTTTTCTTCCCCTGGTCTTGGGGGCTGACCCTGTGTTAGTCCATTTCCTGCAGCTTCTTTGGGGTGTGCAGAGAAGCCCCTCCAGGGCTCGTGTGCTTGGGACCGGCAGTGCCTGCCTGGGAGGGCCAGCCTTGGCGCAGGCTGGCAGTGGTGCCAAGCCTGGTGGACGAAAGCAGCTCAGTGTTTGGGAGCAGGAACTGGCAGGTCCTTAGGGTAGAGAACTGGGCAGGTGAGTTGCTGTTGCTTTAGTGAACAGGGGTGTGGATGTAGGCGGCAGGCCGTAGTTGGGGGTGCAGTGCATGCCGGCTGGGTGCTGGGGGTCCAGGACAGGAAGGTGCATGTTTGCAGGGGTGGGACGGGGCTTCCCTCAGGAGGAGGATGAGGTGAGGCACTCAGGCAGGAGAGAGCCCGGGAGGTGAGAGGGCTGTTCTGAGAGCAGCTGAGGAGTACAAGTCAGCAGGGAAGTGGAGGAGAATGTTGTGGCTTTTCCTGTGCCAGGGCAGCCATCACAAGGTGTGTGACAGGAGATGTGATCCAAGTTGTGTTTTGAGATGGTCCCTAGCAGAGAAGAGAAAAAGCTTTGGGGTGAGAGGGGCTGGTGCTTTTGAGCAGGTGAGGGGTGGCTGGGCCAGGGCAGCCTGCGGGGACAGAGGGGGCGGTGAAGGGCGAGCCTGGGTCTGGTGCACCAGCGAGAGAGAGGCAAGGCCTTGGTGCCAGGAACGGGTGGGGGCAGCACCCAGGCCCCCAGAACAAGCGCCTGGGTGGGGAGCAGTCCTGAATCGCACCACATGGGACCTCTGTGGGGAGCAGGCAACAGTCCTGCTGGGACCCCGGCACGCGCTGCACATCCCTTGCCTCTTCATGCTGCCTTTTGCGCCTGGAAACAACATGAACGTCCTTTTTGGGGCCCGTGTGGGTTTTTGCTTTGGAAAAGGTGGCGTCCTACACACGTCTCCTTCGGAACCTGGGAAGCTCCGATATTCACTTGTCATCCCTCACAGGCATCTGGGCCCACAGGGAGTTGCCAGGACAGGCAGCGTTCAGGGGGAGTGGGAGGGAGATCGGTGTCAATGAGGGGGTGGTCATAGAAGCTTTCAAAGAGGATGTGATGTTGGAGCCAGGCGCAGAGGATCGGCAGGCTGCCTGGGTTGACAAGAGGGGCGGGACGTGTGATGCACACGTCTTCCCTGGAGTGCACAGTGCATGCCCTGTGTCGGGAGGGTCTGGGGAAGATGGCAGGAGAGGGCAGCCAAAGTCAGGGTGCCTGGCTTAGAGGCTTAGGGTGGGCCCATGGCGACAGCCTCCCCAAGTCCCATCTGAGCTCTTTACGGCATCCATGGTTGATAGTTTTAGCTCAGCACATTCCTTCCTCCTGGGCACTGTCCTTTGTGTCCTAGCAGGCCTGGACCCAGGAGCATGGTATCCCTCCCCACCCCTTCCTCATGCCCCCGGATGCTCTGTGTGGGGTGTCTCTGCATATCTGCTTTCTTGGCTGACTCCACTGACCTGTTCTCCCTTTGTTGTGCATTCTGCTTCCTCACACCCTGTCCTTGTCCAGTACAGCGTGGCCTCTCTGGTTCTTGGGGGTCAGGCCAGAAGGGGGGAGTTGTCAGCATTTTGCAAGCAGAGCTGCCAGGGTATGGAGCGGGTGGCTTCATCCAGGGTGTGCAGGCAGGGCTGGGACTCCTGGCGTGTTCACGGGAGGGGGGTGGATTAGACCTGCAGAGCTCCAGGTTTGCTCTCAGTGTCTCGGTCCTGTGGGCTGAGACCTGCATGTTCTGGGAAAACCACCCCCTGTAAGTTGTGCTTGCCTTTGTAAAGTGGGCACCTGCTCGCCATTCATCCCATAGCACCGCGGCTGCTCCAGGTGCTGAGGTGCA